TATGAAAAAGATATTATATATGTATAGTTAAATGATAAGAATATTTTGTAAAGTTTATAAAAACATTTTATTTGCTCAAAGATATGCATTATGTCTGATTTAAGTAGATATTATTTTGTAAGAGCAATTAAAGATACGAAATATTGCATGTTCATATAAAATTTTTTAAAGATAACATTATATGATAACGTTGCGTATATTATAATATTTTTTTGAAGATAATTTAAAAATAATTTAAGGAAATGATAAATCAATATAATTTTCTTGAATGTTATATTTTTTACTTTTAATGTGATAGCACTTATTAAGATAATAACTTAATAAAAAAGTTATTTAAAATTATTGAAGATTGTAAATTAAACAAATCTCTCGTTAAATCTCAATAGATATATTTAGATTTTCGTTTTTACGTTTACTGAAATGTTTAATTTGATAAAATACCTATAATTTAGTAGTATTTATGTATGTTGAACAATTTTTTCATATCCTTAATTACTTATGAAATAATCCGACATATTTACTTAAATAAGATTGAAAATAATATATATATATATATATACATAAAAAATGTATTATTAATTTAACGAGGTTTGAAGTATAAATCTAAGGAGAAAAAAATGATAAAATAAGATTTTTCCATTACCTTGATATTTTGTATGGTGTCGATATTATGATAATATATCGGCACAGTGAGCAAAGATAACAAGTGACTTTGAAAGAGAGCATTTATATTAAGGAATAAGATCAACGCCATGCATATGATGATCCTTGTAGAATCCATTTTGGGCAAATGTAAAAATCCTACGCAGACTATAAGTCTTATCACCTCTAACCCAGCCTTTATATATCCCACAATTTTCATAAAAATTATGTAAATTAACAAACATATGGCGATTACTCCCACCATTATTTTCGGCGACAAAAAGGTTATTATCTTGATGAATTCGGAGATCGGTTTCTTTGGTTGCGCTATCACGCAAAGTCCTGATGACGCATGGGGGTATAGGTAACTGAAAATAAACAAAATATTATACTTTTTAACCTCGCCTATGGAGTTTTCACCATGTAATATATAGAGAAGAAAGTTCTTCTTTTTTTCTTTTTCCTTCTCTCTCTCTCTCTCTCTCTCTCTCTCTCTTTCTTTATTATTAGCTATTTATTATTTATATTAAAAATATTTTTATTTAAAAAGATTTTTATAATCTTATGAAAGGAGTTGTGATAAATAATGCAAATAAGAAATAAGATTCAATAAATATTTCTTACAGGAATATTATATTATATATTATCACATATATTTGAGCGTTCTATGAATAAATAAATAAATCTATGAATATAAATCTTTAATATATAAAATTATATATAAGATATAGTTAGATCCTTAAATAATTCTTGAAGAGGAATCCCTCAGGTATCTTCTTGAAAAATTAATATAAATTATTTTTTATTTTCTGGGAAAATTCTGAAACATACTTGACTTTCCACAATACAAAGAGATATCTTGCATTCATAGCAATGTCTATTCTGCCGTCGCTTACTGCAGCCATCAAACCTCCAAAAGTGCCATTTGGTTCTAAATTACCCAACGAATAAGCATCCTTATTGAAGATGGTAATCTCGAGGCTTGCATTCAGCTTATTTAAAAGTATTTTAATGATTTCACTGTTGTCACCGCGAAATATTTCTTGTTTTGGTAAACTCAAATTAATTTTGACAAACGGTACTAACTCAATGACATTTAATCGAATTCGATATCTGTTCAGAGTAGTCGTTTTATCAAAATCCAGATCCATACATATATCGCTGTCTAAACATATAAAAATAATGGTTGTTTAACTGTCAAATTTTAATACATTTTTTTAAAAACAAATTCACGCAAAATTAGTATGATTTATTAATAATGTATCATTGTAATGTTTATAAAAAGAAAGTATTTCTTTTGATAACTTATATAAAATATATGTATAAAATAATAAAACAGATAATAGACAAATTAAATTGTATCTTATTTTAAAATATTTTATATTAATTGAAAAATAATTTGCTAATATATTTCCTTAGATGAAAACAAAGAAGAGAGTGAGAAAGATAGAAAAAGAAAGATACCATTTACAAATTTTCTCTTCATCATTATCCAAGGATGACCCGCTCGCCCTTTAATATGTCCTACTTTGTACCAGTTGTCTGGCATATTGTTCGAATATGGATTAAACGTGTAAAGAACAATTCCATCGTCTGGATCGATGCATGTGAATATGACCGAGAGTAAATCATATTGCCAAGCTGTCCAGAGATATGACTGTGCATTAATACAGCCTCGAGTCCCGGTTTGTGTATCGACTAAGATGTAAAATCCTTCTGAATTTGCCCATGGCGAATTTTTCACTCTCTATGTGAAGAAAAAGAATAATACGAAAAAATTATTGCTTTTATTTAATAAATAAGTTGCATAATATTATTTAATTCATCAAAATATTGACATCTATCGTATTCATCTTATTTTTTCATATAGAATCACTTTCTTCCTATGCCACCAGTTTTATCCGAGATCCGAGATATACATGTTTTCTTATGAAAGTATATATTTATTATGTTTTTTTATTATTTACCTGTAACAGAACTTGCAAGAGAGGTTGAGAAGATGTTACTAGTAGGAAACGATACGCCTTCCGGAGGAAATGGACGAAATTATAACTTTTGAACATTAGATAGGAGTATCTTGTCAGGGTAAATTTCTGGAGAGCATTAAATCGAGGACTCATTTCATCTATTAGCGCCACAGGTATCATATCGAAATACGAATCTCTAACAAATTCTGCATAGTCTCCGCCTAGCACTAAAGTCAATTCGGAATCCGTTGATCGGCATCTCATTAAAATAAATATCTATAAAGTTAATATAAAATTACAATAATAAAGAGAAAACATTTTGAGATAATTTTTTATGTACTTACAAACAAAAAAAGGAAATAGCTTTTTTCGATAAATTTAAAATAATAAATGTCATATGAATTCATTATATTATAATGTGATGATATGATAATATGATACAATGATAAACGTGTGTGTGGTGCGGATAAGGTTGTTTTTATCATAAATAAAAATATATTAATTTTTTTATCCCAAACATATTGTCAGAAACTGAACTTACCGTTGCGATGACTAAATCTGAAGATTTTTCGTCTGACGATGTAACATTATTGTTAATAGTGAGAGAAAATATGCCTATAATTAATAACGAAAAGAGAACACAGAGAGATACGTTCGACATACTTTCGAAAATTTTACTGTGTAATAATACAATATTAAATTTTTTGGAATAAAATCTTTCTTATAGAGAGACAGTCTGCTAACATTGCCGTTCCGATGAATAATGATCGAATGTGAAGCGTGTGACAATCATGCTTTTTCTCACAATCATGCTTTTTAACATAATCGATCGGATTCAGAGCGCGCGCTTGTACAATATATGCTACATTTTGATCTTTATGATACGATTTTTTGAACTTACATTCATTTAGATAGAAAAATAACTAACATTTAGAATTATCTAATAAGTTATGATTACAAAAGAATATTATAACATCGAAAGAAATATATCTATAGTAATATCCGTCTTCGACGTATGTGATATAATAAATGTATGAATATGTCTGCGTAACAAGCGACAATAGGCTTAACAGACTGAAAGGTATTTGACTTCGCTCGTTCTATATTGTTTAGTTCTGCATTCGTTACAATAATATACATTTGTTTTTTTACACTTTATTTCCTGCGTATGCGTATTATTTATTTCATATATATCTAAAAAGAAGTTTGTTTATAGAACAGATTGTTTGATTTTAATTTTTCTCCTTTTGTGAAATGAAAAAATTATATATGTTTTTTAATAATAACAATATTTTCAGAAGTAATAATAAAATATCTTTATTCAGTTTATTGATGCAGCTTATTGAATATTTTTGTATCCTTATTTACTATAATATCTTATTTCCTTAAAATAATTAATTAATTTCTCGTATTACTAAAAAGTTTTTTTCTGGTTAGATTAGCAGTATTTCCAAATATACTTCTATGTGTTCGTGAATTATTTCTTTTTTACTGTACTAATGTAGTTGTTCCCCATTATTTTCACAGTAATAATAATGTGATGGCAAACGCGATTATACGCATATTCATATTTTCACATTTATTTCTGATAAAGGTTTCTGATAAAGGTAGTATAGCATGAGACATTTTAATGGGAATATAATTACACATCTCTGAATATTCCCTAAATTATGGACATGAAAACAAGATAATATCTTGCTAAAATAAGTGATAACATCATGTAATTAATGTTTGACGTAAAAGTTTCCGCTGTTAGCAAAATTTCCCTCCCTGACGTAAAAGTTTCCGTTGTTAGCAAAATTTCTTGATTTTGAATCTTATAAATTTACTTTTATTTATTTAATTAACTTATTTATTTATTTAACTTTTTGATTTATTTTATATACATATACATGTGTGTGTGTGTTGTAAACACAAATAAGTGTTATTACGATGCAAATTATAATATTTGAAATGAAGAAGTTTTTCTAGCAGCGGAAACTTTTACATTAGGCGGACACAAACATCGAATTAAAAACTTTCGTATCAAGCAATTGCCGTTTAGTTTATATTATGTACACACTCTATTAAAAAATATTTTATCTCGTTCGAAATAATGATAAAAGAAATGAACTCTGATCAGTTTGATTAATTTGCGAGTTCGTCAAATAATTTGCGCAGAAATGAGAATCTCTCGATGTCGTCAATGCTTCTGGGGAACAAGTTGATTGCGAAGTTTACAGAGAAAAGTTTAAAACTGCGCCATATCATGCGGTATCATGTAATTTTAATTCAGATGATGCGACCACTTAGGGAGCAGTTGAGTGAATTAATGATCGCGGGTAAAGAGACCTCGTCAGAGCGAACACGAGATAAACGAAGATTGGTGGGAGGAGCGTTCGTCTCATTCCGTAGATTCTGCATCATCTCGGAGAAAGACGTCTCGAAAGAGAGAGGTCAGTTTCATACAACTAACCGCCGCGTACGCATCTAAACAGAGGTGTCCGTTCCGCATTCTCCTGTGAAGGAAAACTGGTCCTATAGGACGTGCTAATATAAAAAGAGCGTGGGACACGATGCATTATTCATCGGGGATTAGGCAATGGACATCGTCTTTAATCCTGCTGCTCGTGACAGTTCACGTGACTTCAACGAGACAGCCGCATATCATTTTTATCCTGGCGGATGATTTGGCAAGTTGTCTTCTTCGAGGTTTGCAATAAATTCTATCCGACCGAAAGAGTTTGAAGAAAAAAAGTACCGAGACAAAATGATAATAAGATACGAAGCCTTGCAATGAGATAACATTTGTTCAGTGCTTTACAATAAAAATAAAATTTTTTTACAATAAAAATAAAAAAAAATAATCTAAAGACTGAATAGAAAATCTGGCAAAAATATATTGAATATCATATAAAAAGTCACATGATCAAGTATTTAATTATATAACATCTATTTAATTATATAATGTGAGTGTAAAGATAAAATTTATGTAGATGATTTATGCAGATGAAATGAAATATAATTTATTCTATAATATCAGAGTGAAACTTGTCGAGATGACTTTTTTATATACAAAATTTTTTAGTCTCTAAATACACACCTGTATATCTGTATAAATATAAAGCGTTCTTCAGATTTTTATCAATCTCAAGCAATTTATGCATATCAAAATATAAATTATAAATTAATAATATTTTGTGAAAAAAATTTTTATGAGTTATTATAAATTTATCATAAAAGACAAAACAAGAGAACGTTTAATCAAAATTAAAACAAAAATTATTTGAAGGATAAGAATTCTATTAAAGAATTCTATCAAAGAAAGAGAAAAGGAAAAGGTAAAGATAAAGATAAAGAGGAAAGATAAAAATAAAGAAGGAAAATAAAGAGGTTGCATTTAAATTTATTTTTATTTTTATCAGGGGTGGAATGATGTCGGCTTTCATGGTTCCGGTCAGATTCCAACACCAAATATCGATGCTCTGGCATATTCTGGATTGCTACTCGATAGGTACTATGTCACATCAATCTGTACACCATCCAGAAGCGCTCTTATGACTGGCAAATATCCCATTCACACCGGAATGCAACATAGCGTAAGTCCTGTCATCGTATTTTATTTTATTAAGTATTCTCTTTATTAAGAGAATGTAATAAAAGACCAAGGAAAGATGCGGATGAATGTTCGCGCATAAATAACAGGTGGCAATTCTGAAGTAAAATTATTTAATGCGTAACGTGACTAAATGTAATCGTTTAAAAATTCGTCTCTTCTTCAAATACCGCTTATTAAAATTATCATGACTGAATGATCTATCAGTTTCTTCTAACTACGTTTATATCTGTCAATGAATAAATGCAATTGAGAGCTATCAGTTAGCGGAAATGTTATTGTTCTGCTTGCAACAGTATACAAAAGAGGATATTATACTCTCTTGCACTTCTACCGAGTTGACCTGAATATTTCAATTGGAAATTATCATATCTAGTGATGCAGAGAAAGAAAGATTGTCAATTTACTTGTGTACACTATGTTTGCGTAAACGTAACAAAGCAAAAAATTGCAAGGATCTCATCATAAATCATAATGTATCTCTTTTTTATTATTATACAATTAATAGCATTAAGTGAATAGTGTTCTTTTTGCAATTTTTTTTACTCATATAAGAACACATTAATGATATTTTTCTTAATAATTTAAAAATTTTGTAAATATTTAATACTTTTGTGAAATTAAATGCTTTCATAATAACAATTTAATTTATATGATTATTACTATCTTAATTAACTATTTTATATTTTTAAGACAGTTTTAATTGAGATAATCTTATTTTATAAAGTCATCGCGATTATTACGATGACACAAATCATCATTGAAAATGTGAGTAAGCATACAAACAAACATAACTTGATTTAATGCGATAAAAATGATAAGATTAATGTTAAGATAATTTTATAATATTGATGTTTATTCGCTTAACATAAAACAGTAGTTTATTATGTAAATATTAAATAAGATAATAATCTTATTAATTAAATTACTATTAATTAAATTATATGAAGTACTAATTTATCGAAAAATAGTAAATCTTTACTATAGCCAATGACACCCGGATTTTATTATTAATTTAGATCCTGAAAGGCGCAGAGCCTAGGGGATTACCACTTCATGAGAAGATTCTGCCGGAATATTTGCGAGAGCTCGGTTATAGCACACATATCGTCGGCAAATGGCACTTAGGATTTTACAAAAGGGAGTACACTCCTACTTATAGAGGATTCGACACCCATATTGGATACTGGACAGGTCATCACGATTATTATGATCACACAGCTGTTGAAAATGTAAATAAATATACAAACAGATATAATTTGATTTAATGCGATAAGAATAACATATAAGATAACGTTAAAATAATTCCATAATTTTGACGTTTATTCGCATGGCATGTTTATGGCATGTAACATAAGAATATTAAATAAATTAAGTACAGAAAATGCAAAAAAAATATAAAAATATGAATTTTTAATGATTTAAAAAAATATAAAATAATATAATTTAATTTTAATTAATATAATATAATTTAAAAAATATAAAAATATTAACATTTATATTTTAATTTTAAAAAGATTAAAACTTTTTAAATTAGAAATATTTAAATTAATATATTTTATTTTACAGTTAATTTTTTTTACGGAAATATATATTATTTTATATTAAAAAATGTTATAAATGTTAAAAAAATTATTTTATAACCGCTACATGAATGAAAAGTATTATATTTGTTATAGACAGTAATACATAATTTTCATCATTTAGTATAGACAAAATACATGATTTGAAAATTTTGTGCAGCCTTATTGGGGTTTGGATATGAGGCGGGGTATGAAACCGGCATGGGATCTGCACGGTGAATATTCCACGGATGTTTTTACGAAGGAGGCAGTGAAACTAATTAACAATCACAACTCTAGTCGGCCGATGTTCTTATATCTTGCTCATGCAGCCGTGCATTCCGGAAATCCGTATAATCCGCTTCCAGCACCGGACGAAGAAGTCGCTAAGTTTAATAATATTTTCGATTATAATCGAAGACGTTTCGCAGGTAAAATTTGAAAATGTGTAAGCGGTTAAATAAGATCAAATTAGAAATATAAATATTATTGAATCTTTGTTGAGTGTGAATTATAATATGAGATAATTAATTGAGATGTCCATTATTATAAAATAAACAGAGAAATTATTAATGAGAAGGCAGATTAATAAAAATTCTATAAAATTCTATAGGTATATTGAGTAAATTAGATCAATCGGTAGGCCAAGTAGTTGAAGCTCTGTATAAGAATAATATGTTACAAGATAGTGTAATCGTATTTTCGACGGACAACGGTGGGCCTGCCGCTGGATTTAATTTGAATGCAGCATCTAATTGGCCATTGAGAGGCGTCAAAAATACTCTTTGGGAAGGTATTTGAAGGTCTTATTTGAATATAATGTATAATTATATATCAGATAGTCAATAATAAAAATATGAAAATATTTATTGACTTAATACAATAACAAAATATTTTTGCTATTGATTTTTTTACACATTGATTGTCATGATATGTTTTTTAATTAAATCTCCATAATTAGTGCTCGTGATTTTTAGAATATATAATAAATTATTAATCATTCGTGAAATTAAAAAATTGTAATAAAAACATCATGTTTTATAATGTTACTTTTTGTGTGTGTGGTGAATTTTATCAGCTTATTATTGAAACAACATATTATGAGAGAAAAGAAATAATTAAAAAGAAGTTTAATAAATTTTTAATGTTCATAAATAAATTTATATTTTAATGTTTAATAAATTTTTAACGTTCATAAATAAATAATTTTTTAAATTTACGATCAAATCAGGTGGCGTCAGGGGTGCAGGATTAATATGGTCACCCAGATTAGTGCGTGCTGGTCGAGTAAGCAGACAAATGATACATATTACTGATTGGCTGCCGACACTTATAACAGCTGCCGGTGGCAATGCATCGAATTTAACTTCGATCGACGGTGTAAATTTGTGGGATGCGCTTAGCGAGGATACCGAGTCGCCGCGAACAAATATTCTTCACAACATCGACGATATTTATGGCGTATCCGCTATTACAGTCGGTGATTGGAAATTCATTCAAGGTATATGAACTTAAGACTTATGAACTTTAAGAATTTTGTGATTTTAATTTTAAAATATTACAAGAAATATTTTTTTAAAAATATTTTTTCTTTCTGCCTTAAATTTATTTTAGAACGTAATAAATACCGTCAATTCGATTCAGTTTGATTTTTCATAGGATCCACTTATAATGGAGTATGGGATGGATGGTATGGCCCATCTGGCAGGGAATGGATCTACGATGCGGATGGCGTGATTAGTAGCACGGCAGGACGCGCTATTGCCAGTGTGGGATTGAGTGTTACTACGGAAATTATTTCGTCCTTGCGCGAAAACGCGATGATCAAGTGCCCACCAAGAAATGATAGCTTGCCAATCTGCAGACCGTTACAAGAACCGTGTCTCTTTAACATCTACCAAGATCCTTGCGAGGATAATAATCTTGTTAAACAGTGAGTGAAATTATTTCGTTAAAATTCCATGTTAATTATAAAATTTTATTCTATTTTAATCTACAAAAATATGCTCTCGCCTAATTACATTTTATTTCATGTATTAAAGATTCCCCACGATTGTCAGAAAACTACAGGAAGAGCTGAAGAAGTTCAATAACACCGCGATTTTGCCCGGAAATCTTCCATGGGATAGTAAAGCCGATCCGAATCTGTGGGATCATACTTGGAATAATTTCGGAGATTATATTAATAATGTTATGATGAGCGCTGCGGCTTGATTATAATAATGATAAATAAATTTTATATTTGCTCACTAAAGTGATGTATAATATAATACTTACAAGGATTACACTTGAAAATGCTTATTATATTAGTTTAAATCTTTCTTTCTTATTCAAGAAATATCATTATATAAAAATTTATAAAATTATAAAGATATTATAGTCTTTTCGTACATAAAAATATGCGTTGATGCCATCTTTTCATGCGTAAGGAAATGTATGTCTCAGATTGTAGTAATTCCTCAACATTAAATTAAAAACGTTATTTTATTTATACAATTGCATGAATTTTTAATGTTATATTATGTTATTGCTCAATTTTTTAATATTATTTTGCAGCATTAAACGATTCTATATTATATTTGGAAAGAAATTTATGTATGACTATATTTTAGACAAATAAATTGAAGTAAAATGTCTTATATAAAAAGTCTTTTATATACAATTATTGCTTGTTTTAAGTCACCATTGAATATTTGTAATATTTAAAAATATTGAGATAGGGTTAAATTTCTGTGGATTATTGTTTTCTCATTTCCTGATATTGATATACGATTGATACGGTGCTATTTCCATAATCTTGGCGCATCTGAAATGTCAAAGTTATACATATTATTTTAATATCAATTAAAAAATTAATTACATTAAATTGTGCAGATTTTTCAATAATAAATATATCTTTATATATATATATATATATATATATATATATATATATATAATAGATAATTACTATTTAAGGAAAAGTTAAAATAAAGAGAGAAATAGAATTTGGTTGCGATTCTCAGTTTCAAATTTGCTTTCTTTGTTTACCCGCAAAGGGAAGGAACCCATTCAAGTCCGCTCGAGCAGATTTCTTCAGGTTTGTTGCACATGCATTTGCACAACTTTTCGTTCCAAATCATCTGGCGTTCTTCGTTGCACGTTCTTCTGTTTTTACATTCACACGCGCAATTATTTTCCGAATATATCTGATGCACGTTGCAATGATTCTGTTTTACGCTGCATTGACACCTAAAATTATATTTCTTAACAACGGACATGTGAAAAATGCTATATTAATTTTAGTAACACGGTTACGCGACAATCGTTTGCCTGATCAAGGACGTCTGTGTTTCTTTAGTCTTCTTGAATGGATTTATTATAGAATAAAATGGTTGGGAAGTTAATCGGAATTGTACGGAATATTTGTCGTATTTGAACAAAAAAAACAGAAGCAACATAAAAGCCAAACTTACTTGCACTTGACATGCTCCTCGATTAATACATGATAACATTCACTCGAGTTATAACCGTCCATTCTTACGATGATCTTTTTGATGTCTTTTTTAACAGGCATGCATAATTTATTTTTGGGGCAAAATCCACTGCATCTGTTCACGGGAGCGTAATTCGGATAGAAGATGTAGCCTGGTTGCGGTATTAATTTTACCAAGGTACGTCTCGGTACACATATCACTTCTTTCATCTGGTAATTCAATTGCATACGTCTTCCTGCGCATCCTGTTAACAAATTTGCAGGGTTTGTTTCTAAAGAATAAAACTACTGTATTTGATTACTTGAGAGATAATTAAGAGAAAATTGCTTTTATCTACTTAACAAATTTTTAAAGTATGTTAGATTACTGAAATAAACAAGAGGTCAATGATTATCGATTTAATGAGATATTCATAGTTATTTATAATAATGAATAAATTCCCCGTATTGATTTTTTCCTGGAATAGCTATTTCTTTCCTCTGGTGGCAATTAAAAAATATTATCTCTGCATATTAATTGCTGATGTACAAGGAAATCTTATTTGTTTTATACAGAATTTCTAATAAAGTATGATAATAATTCTGATGAAATAATTTTTCGTGAAAAAAGTAACTCAAAAATATATACAATACATTTCTTCGATTGGTTGCATGATTTTTGAAGAAAATAATTTTATATGTTAAAATAGTGTATGCGCAAAATATTTAAAGAAACAAAATCAATCGATAAGAAAGTGATAAACGATGTTATTTACAAGAGTAAAAAAACTTAAAAAGAATTTATCTTAATCCGTCATCAGATTTTACGCATAAAATTATAATAGCATATATCTATGTATTGTGTAAAAAAATAATTGGCATAAGAACCAGGCAAGATTTTCCATATCGGATTCAAATATAATGCTGATCGCATAAAAATATGCAACACATGTATATCTTATATTCACATCACTTTTATATTAAAGTTCAATATTTCCAAGAAAATACAAGGAATAAAAAAAAACGTTGATAAAAATACATCAGATATACATCAGAAATTTGTATAAAAATAAATTTTGATATATTTATATATATATATATATATATATATATATATATATATATATATCTATGAAAAAAGCTCCCGATTAATACCTGTCACCTCTCCCTCGTGAGCACGTAGATCTTCATACCACATGGCCTCGATAGTGTAAATCCAAGTGACCATTAAAATACAAATTATCGCGAGAGATTTCATAATTAACTTTTAACACACAAAGCACGGTAAATCAAAATAGCTCGTAGTTCACACGACGTATCGTTAGAAAAGATACGAGCGTATGAAGTAATGATGTGTCTTTCTCGTTCATTTATAGCGGCCGCAGGATGTACGCGGCAATGTGCGGTTTTTAACTTGGCTGCGAAACGAGGAAGGAAGTGGCTATGCGAAATATTTCGAATATTTTGCATTATTCCACGAACACACACGCTAATACTTATTATATCTTATTTACACTGATGAAACGAATACGTCTAGTAAGTTTAAATCTCACGTTTAAATCGTCAATTTTGATCATGAAAGATTCTCAAAAATGCAAAAAAGGAAGTCTAAAATTTTTATATTTGAAAAAAAAATCGGTAACTTGATTTAATATTAGTCTTCTACTTGTTTTTAGATCCGCATAAACAATTATAACGTGATATTTGTGAATTTGTGTGTGTAAATAATATATTTTTCATTTATTACTTAAACTATACATCATATATTATTCCTTGGGCCACAATCTTACGACAACATACGTACAAAGTAAAAAAAGGAAAGTGTTGAAATTAGACGTAAAATATATTATATTGTTGGCTAGAATGTTAAGATAGGTCCTTCCCGGTGATCCAAAATATCTGCAATAGAAATTATTGCGATTGAATTATCGAACAACGTAAGAGTATCATGATATATTTGCATATATTAAGAGTATCTCCGAAAATTTAACAGCTGTTTTATAATGAACATTTATGAGCAGAAATACATAATAAAAATATATTATACAAGTATTGATACAAATTTACTAAATATAAATGGAATAACAAAAATGTGTTACTATAATTCGATTTTACCTTTGGCTATGCTCCACCATGGCAATGTAATGTATGTCAAAAAAGCATTTAGAGGTACGGATTGCGCTCTTTTCGTCTCTTTCCAGAAATGGAAGGTTTGAGTAAACCCTCGCATCGTCCAGAGTGGATTATACGCTCCGTCGTCCAACTCTGAAAGAAAAAGAGCGTTATTAATCATTACATCTATCGAACACTATATTGTAACATACATCTTTGACATCCTGTAATGATTGTTCAATTGATAGGACGATGAAGTCGTTTACACGGGACGGACATTCAATCGAGCGATGAAACACAGTAAGATACAAGCGTAAGGAATTAAATGCCATATTTTCATGAAGATGTTACGAGCCATGATGGAATGAAGGAACAAATTCAAATGCGATACGATACACAAATCATGTCTGTGTGTTTGTGTAGAGATGCGTGTGCAAATGTAAGTAGAATAAGGAATACAAAGAAATGTTAATTATCGCTTTTATACTCCAAGGAATAATGTATATATGTGCTTCATTCACGCAAAATGTCGCATATGTAAGTTACACATAAGAAATAGATTCGCAGATATGCGAGTACAAGAATAATCCACATACACAGCTGATGTTGTTTTATTTACTTTATAAGAAGAATCAGTAACGTTTAATGTATTCCATGAAATTCTGTCGTTGTAATATTCAAAAAGATAGAATTGACACATGTATTCATATAAAGCAAACTAGATTAATTATTCATCTACTTTCGATGACTATGCTTATTAACGGTGGTGAAATATTCGCGATCGAGAATCGAATTACGAACAATTGATTTCAAAAGTTGTCTTTTAAATCTCCCAGTCGTCATATTTTTATCTTCGAAAAACCACCACCACTACCACTCTCCATCGTATCCTCACGCGTGACTCACAGCCATTGTCATTTCACCATCCCATAAACACAGTCATTATTCGCAGTCATGCTTTGGACACGTTTACATTACACGAATAACGGATTAATACAATGAAGATGATAATCTCTGGATTACTTTCGTCGGGAACGAAGGGCAAGGGACTATTTTTTCTGAAAGAGGGTGAGGGCTAGGAAATAGGAAGGAATTTACCCTGTGAGCCGGGGCGGCGCGGGAGCTCGCACCAGTAGTAGATCGCGGTGCCATCGGGCGTGACGCGATGAGGAGGTAGAGGATTCCCCGCGAAGCTGCCCGAGAGCGCCCTTCGACGTCGTCTTCGGGGCAGGGTGGCGCTCTGCCGGCGCGACATCGTGACATCGTTGGTGGCGCGCGTCGCATCATGATGATGGGCATTCGCGTTTTTATCCCTGATCTCGTCGTTCTTGTTCTTGTTGTTCTGTCCGTTAGCGTAGTCCTCGTGATCGGAACCGGCGCTCCGCAGACGACGTCGTCCGTCGATCCGTCTCACCCGCAGGAGTTCGTCGTCGCTCAGTCGTCGATGCTCCTCGTCGTCGTTCTCCAGGCCGTTATGATGATTGAACAGATGGCCAGCGCTATACGGACGTCGTTTCCGATTATTGTCCTCCGTCGCCACGTCGTAACCCAGCGGCAGTTCCTCCTTGCCGTGCACCAATATCGCGCCCGAGTCTAGCTTCTGCCGGACGTTGTCGTCCGTCAGGCACCGGCCGGCCGGCACTAAGATCTCGCTGCCCACCTCTATGTGTTGGTGCTGGTGGTTTTGCTGATGATCGTTGTGCTGGTGATTGTGGAAACCTGCCGCGAGAACCACGTCGTCATTTAGACGGCGATTGTACCCGTATCGCGATCACAAACGATCGTGCTCCTTGTCTCTTTTCGCGGTTTCTCCCTCGTGTATGTTTAAGCACCAAATCGATTTTACTTTATAATATATTTGAAAATTGTATCAATACAAGAGACAGCTATTTCAGCTTTATATGCTTCAAATATGATAAAAAAAGAGAGGTAAAATGAAACATTTGATTAATGTTTCCCTCTTAACATACTTTTGTCAAGGCTTATTTCAAGAACACGGAACACGATGGTACTTCGGAAAGGAGCTACAGAGTTTCTACTAGTCACACAAGAAGCGAGAGGGTCGGTCAGAGCAGAGACAGGAGAGACCGATCGTTTTTAGCGCGAACGAGCACACTCACCGTGTGTCTCGCGATAGATCGCCTCCTTGCGTATCGGCGAGTTCTCATTTCCGGATCGTTCCCGAGCTTTATGTTGTCGTTGCTTGTTGTGGACGGGGCGTTGTTGTTGTTGCCGGGTCGGCGGCAGATGAGACGATCTTCGTCGACGAGGCGCGCAGGGACTCCTGCGTTTTCCCGGCGAGTCCCGGCCGCCCCAGCTGCTATCCTGTACATCGGCTACAAAGGAAACAACCGGCATGGCACGTGTCAGTTATTAGAGACAAGAAACTCTTTCGTTCGTTAGTTTTCTCTGTCATCTTTCTCACGCGATTTCGATCGATCAACCGGAGATTAGTGTGTACTGGTAGTGGTGGTGGTGGTCGTGGTAAGTGGTTGGAGGTGTTGGTGAAGGTAGAGAGAATCTGTTCTTTTCTCGGTGTATTTCTATTTTTCACACGTCGTTCAATTTTATACATAACATTGCGCTATACTAATATTTTTAAAAAATTGCGAATCCTACGTCGACTAATCTAAAGACACGTTCAGAAAAATTTGATGCCGTTCTAAATAATCTAATATAAATTAATATATATATATATATATATATATATATATATATATATATATATATATATATTCGAGTAACAAAATCTCATTATTATATGGCACACTGAATTGTGCACATACTTTAAACGAGAAAATAAATATAGAGAACGTGAATGTGGGACGTGAATTCGTACAGAATTCTTTTTAACGTATGCATGCGTTCATTTTCTCTAACGCGCTAATGCAATTATGACTTACACCTTCAAAAAGTGTTTCAATCGATCAGGCTCAAATCTATACAAAGTTGCCAGCATTAAGAAGAAAGATATTGTCGAGAGGCGTCTATATACGCCTGATAACATCAAGACAATTGTGCGTCACACAGATACAACGCAGGCGCATGCACAGATCGAGAGTGAATGCGAACGAAATACATTGAGAAGAGAAAGATGCTAAGTCCCGCATCCATATCCCGCATCTATCGCTGTATCATGTCATAAATACTCTACTATTACCTAAAATTTATATAATCTCAGTTTACGTAATAAAAAAAAACTATTGTTCGCAATTAAAAAATAATCTAAAATTAAACTACTGAATGCGGGATACGAATGTCGCAGTCTAAGAGTGTAAAATTAAAAATCTATTAAGTATAGCGGAAAAGAAGATCTGTTTTTTTGGGCTTTGTGTATGTCGCGCCTCGGATAATTACCATCTCGAACGTCACCGGCTTCGATCTCGTTGAGACCGTTCGCCATAGAATCGAGACCCTCGTTCTCCGATCTCGCCTTCGTGGCCACCGTGTCCGGTTTCGTTCTCCAACCGCCGCGCACAAAGTTATTGAGATTCGCGCTGGGATCGGACAATCTTCGTTGATGGCGATACATGAAGAGCTCCTCGGCGTCATCCCAGTCGGCGTCCCATAAATCTGTCGCGCAATAACCCGGTTCCGACGTTGGCGTTTCTGCACCGGAACCCTTCGGTTTCGTAACTGCCATCTCCGCATGTCCTTTGCCTAAAACGATCGCAATATGTTGTCTATTATTTTACATCTTGTTATACTAAAAATTCTATTTTCCATCTTTCACGCCTACACCATGTGAATAATAAAGATAAAACACACCTTCGTACTGACACCTACGTTTATTGATTCGTTTGATTGGCTCATTTATGTTTAATTTCTTTTTCTAATAAAAGACTTTCGATAATTACATTTTATAATAAACATTTTTTCTTTCAGATATATTTCTTTTTTTCGGTTTACAAAATTATGTCATATTATTTGTAAGATTCTTGATTCACTACGCCAATTTTTCTTTATTTATCAATACAACATTGTAAAAATTCTAATTATAAACAAAAGAAGAAAAAAATGCATAAATCTTGAAAAGAAAAAATTATCCGAACGCAGAAGTTGATTATTTGTTGAAATAATATAAATTAAAGTAATAAAATACCACGTGGTCCCTTCATTCGCACGAATTCTATTCTTTGCGAGGCCGCGCCGGAGAAGAGGCCGAAGGTCATTCGCTGCGCCATTTTGGTACTCAAGCTCGACTAAAAATAAAAATAATCATTACGTCATACAAAATCTGATAACGCACCTGTGACATTATCATAGACGTCATCACTCACCCTCGCATCGTAAACTTTTTTTAAAGCGTCATATCTGATGGAGCCGAGAAAAATAACACCCTGAATGGCACCCTCTCGATCGGAAGCGACTAGCTCCACGCACACCATCTCCCCGTCCCTGACTAAAATATCACAGAAAACTTCATCGAAATTGTCCACCATGAAACATATATGCGGGTATGTCATTTCCTCGAGATCGCCTTTGGCATCCATACGTCGTCGACTTGGACTGGCGTATACTTTCTGAGAATGCCTTCGCAATACCTGAAAAGAATTACATTATGTTAATACAGGATTTTAATTGTCGACTATGTAGTATAAAATATATGAAATAAATATTTAAATTTTAAAGATACATGAAATAAAAATATATGAAATAAATATTTAAATTTTAAAGATTATAAAAAATATATGATGTATCAAATTCTTAAAAAAAAAAATTAAAAGTATATAATTTATTTGAACTATTCCATGTATTTTTACGTTATTATCGAGACGATTCTCACTTGCAGTTCTTTGGGGCTTGTTCTCGTGCAAATCGCCAAGGTAAGTGTGTAGTCGAACTGATGTACGACAAGATTCAGGTACACGGTTTCTTCCCAATCAATGTCGGGATCGCCGATCGGCAGTTTTTTGCTGTCCTTACGAAATACGTCGACCTCAGTCTCGAACTTGGGCAGATATCTCGACGAGGTTTTTACATGTTTTTTGCGAACGAAGAAAAGCAGATCGTCGCCGTCGATAGCGTGCTCCGCTTGAAATAGGAAGTGCCGAACGAATAGATCCGTCCAGTAAGTTGTGCCTTGCAATACGACGAATCCGGAATCTGATAAAGACGAAAAAAATTTGCGTGTCTAGAGAAAGGGACCAAATGTTAAAACTCGGCATGTGAGGGGGAGAAGCAGATGCGATTAATTTTTCAAGAACGTCGGCTAATACCGAATTCACCCTCAATCGATTCGACATTACGCGCGAAAGGGTATATCAAGAAGAGGGGGACACAATATAATAAGGCGGGAAATATCAAGTAATCGATACTTATATGATGCTTATTGATGGAAAAGGTTTTAAGATTAAAATATATTTTTAATAATATCTTTGATACTTTTTGTTAAATTTTAATAATCTTTTTCAACAAATACATTTAAAATAATCTTTTTCAACCAATACATTTACAATAAATTAATTCTTTAATAAATCGTTAATTAATTCTTTAATAAATCATATTTAAATAAACATATTGTTTAAATCGCGTTAACTTAATTTATCTATATAAATGCATTTCAAGGTTTAAAAAAAGTTACAAGTGAAATTACAATAATGTTTTATAAATAATAAAGGTAAATAATAAATATGCTGCGTAAAAATAAATTGAAAAGCAAAATAATGCAAACCGCAACATGATGAAGAGAGTAAATAAAGATTTATTTATTATTTATTATTTATTATATTTATTATATATTAACATATAAAAGAAATAATTGTATTTATATTTATATTTGTATTGATTTGTATTTATATTGACATAAAATAAAAATGAACAAATAACATTATTTTTGATAGTGATGTTTTATAATTATAAATTTCATTATGATGCATACATATTCTAAATATTTTTCTGGATAAAGTGCTTAATTAAAGTGATTATTAAAATCTGACAATAATGAAATCAAGCGAATTGATTGATTGGCGGTTTCGTTATGAAAGCATTCAGAGAACAGCATTGAACAATTCTCTATTACAAAGTTTTTCGCAATTTCCGTATATTGTTGAAAGCTGATTTTACATTCTCTTCATTTACATTATATAATGAATTTTGAAGGCCGAGGACATTTAAACTCATATCAATAAATTCATCTCTCTGCGAAAATGTAAAAATTAAATATATAAACATAAGATAATAACGAGACAAAAGTAGTAGTAAAAGTTTCTTCTAATACTACTTTTAACATACTAAAAATTCTTATAGAATTTTATAAAATAATGAAGGGTTAAAAAGAAAAGAAAAACAGAAACAATTTTTAATTTTCTCAAAATACATCCCTCAAGCTTAAATAAGACGGTCCTATTTTTCGGCGGTCGGTTAACTCCAACGAAAGCGAAACATCCTCTACATAATTCGTTCGTTCGAAGCACACCCCAAAACGCATCCCTGCGCACCCCTATTTCAACGACGCGTGCATATACACACACACACACACACATGCACATTGTTCACCCCTAAACGAGACAAACAATGCCGGCCGCACCGCTTCGGTCGCATACGAACCATCCTTGAGCATCTGCCTAAGCTCCTTCGTTCTCTGGAAATTTATCTCCTCGAGTAACTGCTCCAGCATCGTCGGGGCCCTTGTTAAGCCCGCCGACGACGAGCTGCTCGCGAGACTTGCCATGGCCAAATTAAGTGGCCTCGTCTTATTGTTAGCCTTCCTTCCTGGACCGTCCCGTTCCTCCCACGATTTGACAGCCGTCTGTGCCGTCTTCCACCTGCGTCGCTGTGTTTAACGGAGCGTCCTTGGCCCCGTCAAACCAGGAGCGGCGTACGCGACCAGCGGCCGATGGTGCCTCTCGAGGGACCGGCGCGCTTGGAGAACCGCTCCGATGACGCGGCTACGAGATGACGGACAGACGGCGGCCGAGGAATTTCACGTCAATTTTCTCATTTTCAAGTCGAAAGTCACAACGATCAGGGATAAGCGCAATCGTGCGACGCTTCTCAGGCGGGCAAGTTGATTCGCAAACCGACGAGGAGAGAAACGTCACATCGGAGCTCCTCGCGCGGCGCGGCTCGGCCGCGACTGACCGTGTCGAGTGCGTTTGTCGATAATTTAACGCATGCGTGTCTCTCGTCTTGTTTATGTCATCATTGTCAAGGCGGGATATTCGAATGACATCCGTTACAAGAGCTTGGCGACAATGACTAGGAATTTGAGCGACTTTTTCGAAAATGATCAAAGATAGTATCTAGCGTCATGCGATAAATAAATATTTCGTAAATATACTCATTGTTCCATTTTATTTAGCTTCTACTGATATAACTTCTCAAATACAATTATATTTGTGCTTATCAAGCATAGTTTGTGAAGAGTAAGAAGCTAGGATAGAGAGAGCAAAGATCGACTAGTAATGTAGGACAAGAGTTACTTTGAGAAAGATTGAAATTTCTCCTCGGCACCGTCGATTACTAAGTAAATCTGACAAAAAATCGTGGAAAGACGGCAATGTAGGAAATTGTACGATGAAGATTAGCGTGTCTTCAAGCACACTATGGGTATTTATCATGAACATTTCCGCGTTATCTTGAAAGCGTCGTGGCCTGAAATGATACCGATGACCTAATATTGACCCTAGGACTCTTGATAAAACTTTCGAGATATTGCCAGTCAATTCGAGACCGAGTATACGACGCGTATATGATCTCCGTTGTTCTCGTTGTTCATCGATTTGGCTAGCGAGAAGATTTGCAAGCATCTCGAATCCGCCGGTGAGTACCCACGCGATCTTCAGGATCAGCACGTTCAACGCGCTGAGAATGCGTCGCACAAGCGAGCCTGTGACTAATCGGACCATTATTGAAGTTGCTCAGTTGCATAATTAACCTGCCGTGTGTTCGCGCGAACACGTTGATCTTTCTCTCGTGCATTGAATTCAAATGAGACTCTCGTGCGCCTCGGGCTGATCATGATATAATTAACTACATATTGCGATTAATAATATTAGTAATATTATGGAAATTTATTATGTATTGCAATTTCGATACGGTTAACATTATAAAATTTAAATTGCAAATCTCGGGATGTATTTTCTCACTATAATATAATATGATATCTCCTTAATATACATTCGATCTACTTGCTCAAGTGTTATATATATGCAAATAAAATATTTGTGCTTATCGCTAATATTGACGTATTAAAATTGCATTAGTGTACAGTTTTATTTACTTTTATAGTTAATATATATTGATCTATTATAAATTTTATAAATTTTTTTTAATAAATAGCATTAATTTTCTCTTCGAAAACTACCGCCTAACTGATTAGTTTACTTTTAATTTAAATAAGATTTAATTGGAAAATATATTAAATAAAATCAAGTTCAAATTCTCTTAATTCACAGTTCAGGAAATTCTCTTAATTAACAGTTTGATTCGACGAGAGCTATCTGATCGCTCGTTATCGCGTTGCAGCTGTAATCAGATATAAATAAATCAATTTTTGCTTTAAGCACGAAGCATCTTGAAGCTACAGAGTTCTGTAAAAAGACTAACGTGATGAAAGAAGCTGTGCTCAGCGATATTCTATTTAATTCATTTAAATTATGTTTGACGAGGGATTCGCTCGATAATTCGCGCGAGTTTCCAGTTTCTCATTTGCCGGCGATATCTAAAGACTTCTAAAATTTATCATTCGCATGTTTTCTCTCGCATGTATTAATCGTGAACAGATGCGCTTTATGTCGAACAAACAAGCGGAGGCGGACCGGAAACAGCATGAGAAAGTATGCATTGCGATGATGATAAGTTTAATTGACGAATGCTCAACACATTTCATTGTTTAAGGCAATGAAAGGAAATTATACAGGACGTAATAATAAAATAATATAGGGCAATATATCGATTATCGCCAACTGCGACATGATATAAATTAATAAACTCCATATCAGCGCATTTATTAAGTTGAGTAACGAATCCAATTTCCACGAATAGTGTGTTGAAAATAGTTCCCGGACGTTTCGCAAATTAAAATTTTTAAACTTTAAGGTAAATCATCAAGATAAATTATTTTTATTAAATAACTATATTTTTATTAAATAACTATTTTGGTGAATATATGATCGTCATGCAAAAGTATTCAAACATAATAAATCAATTAACTAATCCGATCCCCCAAATCACGCATAAAAATAATTTTAATAAAACTGTATTAATGAATTATGCAAAATCAATTATTATATTCATTTGTATCATTGACTCGTTGAATTTGAAAGATGACCATACGGACAGCGAATATAAATGTGTGTATAATATAATATTCCTATAACGATATGAAGTTAAGTTATGCACTGTGATTTATGTAGAACTATCAATTGTCACAACAAAGTTATAACGATAAAAAAAGGAAATGAAAAAGAGAGAAAATCTAATATAATAAATATATTAAATATAATAAATTTATAATAAATAATCTGCAAAAGATAAATTGTAGAATTTCTCTAAATGCTTTATAAATGCAGGACAAATTAAAGATACAAATTAATTATAATTACATTTATAATATTAAATATAATCTTGAAAAGTTGATGTATTATAAAGTGCCTTGTGTTAATACTATAAGAAAGAAAAATAGAAATTTCTTTTGATTAAATGCAGATTTTTATGATAAATATAACTTATTAAAAGATGAGATATAATCAAAGATAACAGATGGTTGTAGGAATATTATCTGCATACAATAATCAAGAAGATCTCATCTCTCTGTTAAAAAATACCATGAAAAATAAAAATTTGAATTAATACACACATTATGATAGATATAATTTGTAGACGAAGTAATAATAAAATTTTTTTGATAATAATAAAATTTTGTTGTACTAGGGAAAGAAAAGTACGATTCAATTAATTGCATGCATTTTTTATGATTTGCTAAGATAAAATACGATGAAGTACAAAGATGCATTACAAGTCGTTTTATCTGCATATTAATTATAATAAAGAAAAAATGTACTAGCAATATTATCAGAAATAAAAGTATAGATTATTTTACCACACACATTTATATAAACACAGCTAGATAAAAAATACGACCAAATAAGATAAATACGGTTCGTATATTACTATCTACAAAAATATAATAATTAAAAAATTTCGCTATATGCTAGAAATATTGTACAGAAAAAAGATACATATAATTTAATTAATATATTTTTATAGATATATTATATTTAATTTGATACTTTTTTAATGGTTAGTTTACTAAAATATGGAATGCGATCGAGTTATATCGCGGTTTGTCACGTTTAACAATCGAGCTGTTAACATTTAATTATTCCGCTAATTGCGGAGCGCATCGTGACAAGCGTAAACTCACCCACGCGCGGAGTTATGAGTAGAGGGGTACGATTGAGGGTACGAGTTCGACTGTGCGTCATGTATGCATCAGTTTTCACGCGTGTGTACACGCGAAGTGCCGTCAACTCGGCTCGATAGTTTTTGGCCGAAATTCGCGATTAATTAATTTGACATACGAATGTTCGCAAAGTGAAACCGTGAAAGGTGAATATTGATTACCACATTGATTACGAAATGCTCGTAAAATAATAAGAGCGAAACTGCGCGCGATAGATATCTATTATAATGAATATTAAATTTTCTTTAGAAAAACCCGTTTATCCCATCAACAAATGGCTTTCTCGTCTATTTTTATACCACTGAATAAAATAAAGATCGCATGCAATAACGATTATCGCGAAAATTATACGTTAAGCTCTCGATACGCGCGAAGTCTTTTACTTTCGCGACTCGTTTGACGTACCTGATCTTTTTACGTTGTTTATTATATTGCTTCGTTATTATCTTCAACATTTCCAGAGAAACACGTTATATCTTTCGCACATCCTGTCGTATTTCACGATAGAGTGGATTGTCTTCGCTATCGAAGCGTGATAAATTCGCGCCACGTGCCAGAGCACGAGATGCGTCTTTTGCATTCTGCAATTTCCGTCTCTGTCCTCTCATTTCTGCCTCACCGACTAACGTTCTAGAAACCTACACCTACCTACGTTCCACCGTGAACGTCGATCTCGAAAGCCGGTTGGAGCGGATTGACAACAGTCTCGACCCAGTTCCCAGATATTCGACCGCATCGGATGCAAATAATGACATCTCGGACACGGACATACGACAGGCGTTCCGTCTCCGCACGTGCCTATATTTAAGATCTCGACATACTGATTAAGACAAAATTTGCATATATGTAAAATTTTTATTTGATTTTAACATATTTATCGCAAATTTTCTTTGATTTACTGTCCATTAAATTATTTTATTAGTTCCTATGTTAATCAATTATGTATTTTATGACACTTTTCTATATAGAATTATCTTTTACATTTATTATATTCTTTTTTATAACTTTTTTCATATTTCTCTTCATACATATAGTTTTTAACACTCAATAGATATTATATAATAATAGATGTAAAAAAATTTGTTATATTAAAAAATATTTAAAAGGCTATTTATGAGCACAGAAAAATTATTAAAAATTATTACCAGTGACATACTGATGTCAATTAATATTTAATAACATTTAAAAACGTGGGACATTTCGAAACTCACTCATGTCTCTTTTAAGAGACACGATAATTTTTAATAACCTTTCTGTGCTTATAATGGCCTTTTATTAACTCTATTTAGATAGTATATAACTTGTGGCAATCGTGTTTTTCTTTAATGAAGTTCTCTTAATAACGATTTTGTTGTGAAAGTTCTAGACAGCGCGGCGAAGATGTTTATTAATTATAGTAATGACAGGTTGTAAACGGTTGTGCATTTTAAGATGAATCATAATCTCAAGTGCAGTTTAATCTCTCACGCGATCGCCTTGATTATCATAAGATTTCACGGGCTTTTGTACAAAGATAGTCACGTTATGCGGTCGTTAGACAAGCGAAAAAAGAATTAAAAAAAGTTCGCAGAGCTTGATTGTAAAAATATCGAAACGTTATTATCTCTCTTTTGTTTCGCGAAAATTGTGACTTATGGGAAAATCTCGTGGGAGATAGTAATTAATATTCTCACGATCTCTTTTCTGCAAAGTACTAAAAAAAATTCTTTTTCATTGCCGTTGCGAAAATCGGGTATTGTTCGAATAATCTATGCAATAGCTATTAAATATATTATGTCGTTAAAAATTCGCACGATCTTAATTTAAAACTAATCATAAGAGATTTAATCATGAATTAACTTAAAGAAAACGGAATAACACTTTAACTTTTAACTTATTAGATAAAATTATCACAGTTTTATAGAATATGAGAAATCAATTCTCTATTTTCATAAAAAAATCTTAATTATATTTTTATTCGAGAAAAATTGAAATCTTTTTCGATTCTTCTTCTCTCTTCTGTTGTCTACTTGTAATCCGAGAATATTTGCGATCCGTTGTATCACGAGATTCACTCATATTACAATCTCCATTCTCCGTTCGCAATTATGAAATCGCGATTCACGATTCGCAATCCGCTCGCGATTATTCATCTCCACTTTGTGGCCATATGTAGCACAAGGTGTTCCTGCGGCGATTTATCGAATCTAACAATAGCGGTCGAAAGAGATCGGCGGAATTCGCGTTCAGATTTTATGATGTGCGCGTTCCTTTTCTGCAAACGAATTCTAACAATGATGACACTTAAAAGATCAGCTGGGACTCGCAGCATTGTCAATTACAGCAATTTTCTTGGTCGAACAAACGAGGCGTAAATTCAAGGATAAGTCGCTGGAAGTCTTGTATTAGAAATCTCACGAAAATGTTTTAACTAACATCATATAACTGTCTAATAATGATAATTATGAGAGACCAGAGCTGTGTCATATATTAAAGACAATACAATATATAATATTAATATATGTGTGTGTCTTAGATTCTTCGAAATGTTATTCTTACTATTTACGGCGTGTCTCATCGCCGTGACTCACGCCGGATGTCCCATGCGTCCAACAGTGGGACAAACTTCCGCAAATAGAACAGAAGGCGATGGTGGTTACAGAATTCTTATTAGCGGGGAGACAAACGGATACATTCCCAATGCAATCCATATAATTAACTTGCGAGGTATGATTTCTTAAAAGATTATTTGAAAGATTAATAAATTAAAGGAAGTGAAAAGATACACAATCATCGCGAAGATCTTTATATCTTCGAATCTGAAATACTGCTTATACTGTTTCGAAATTTCAGGATCGCAAACACACGAGAGATTACAACAATTTACACGGTTCACGCTTACGGTGCGCTCTTTACATTCGCCGACTTTTTTGCACCATGTCGGTTATTTTCAACTGTTTCCGGATTCTTTGACTACCTTTGACGAGGATTGCGTTAACACGATTTCCGAATCGACCGATTTTCCGAAGTCGGAGGTGCGAGACTTTTTTAAAAAGAAAAATTAATTTACTTTACTTTTCCGTCTTAATTATTAATTTGTTTATTTGCTAAAAAATCAGCAATAAATATTTTATTTCGACAGATTCAAGTGATGTGGCGGGCACCGCCGACCGGTTCCGGATGCGTTATCTTCACCGCGATGATTTTAGAGAACAACGTACGATGGTATGCTGAGGATGGTGGTCTTTTTAAGGTCGTTTGCGAGTCGACAGGCACAAAAGTCGAAAATTCAAATGAGACCTTATGTTGCGCCTGCGATGAAGCCAAGTATTCGGTGAGATATAGAATCTCTTGAAAGTTCGATAAAAAGTATGTATACTAATATTAATTTTTTAATATTAATTTACTAGATATATTTTTAATTCACTGGATTTCACAAAATTGAAAAGATTGTTAACAATTAAATCCTTTGAAAAAATATTAAATATCGATATTAATAATTAATATTTTGAAGTTTACAAATAATTCTTTAATTTTAAATTTGTACGATTCGCGAAAGTTACGATGACAAACGAATAAAATCGTGTCATCACAATCAGTCGAAATATCTTGTCGAATCATACTTTTTTTTTAGTTAACTATGGAGGGCATCTGGTCGAACAGAACGCACCCAAAAGATTTCCCTTTTTCCGCCTGGCTGACCCACTTCAGTGACGTAATCGGCGCATCTCACGAGCCAAATTTCTCCTTTTGGGGCAGAGATCACATCGCAACAGACGGTTTTCGGCAATTGGCCGAGTGGGGCTCCGCAACGGGCGTCGAAGCAGAATTAAGAGAGAAATCTAGACATCTCAGGACTCTTATTAAGGCCGCCGGTCTTTGGTATCCTAATGTCAATACTAATACGACGACAAGCTTTCGGTACCTATATTGTCTTGTAAAACATTTATTTCGAAATCTTGAAATTCTCTTCATATTAATAATCATAATAATGTAAAACTTTTTTATTTCTTTTTTAATATTCAGATTATTTGAATTAAAATATTCCTGGATAATTTTTGAATATTTTCGAGTTTTGCAAACGTAATTTAAAGAAATGCCAAAAAATTTTAATATTTGATATCCTGTTCTAGAGAAAGATATCTTTATAATCAATAATAATAATTATAATAGATCGATTTGTTGAACTATATTTGATAGAGTGGACCGAAGACATAATCTTCTCTCAGTGGCTTCTATGCTGGGCCCATCTCCCGACTGGGTGGTAGGAGTGAGCAAATTGAATCTTTGTCAGAAGGACTGCACATGGACGAAGAGCATGATAATCGATCTTTATCCTTGGGACGCTGGCACCGATAATGGCATCAGTTACATGTCGCCAAATTCCGAGACGAAACCGCGCGAGAAAATGAAGCCCATAACGACCCTTTATCCGGAAGATCCGCGATCTCCGTTCTACGATCCGTCTGGTAGACCGATGCATCCGTTAGCCCGACTGTACTTAAATCGGGAGAAGATCATCTCGCGCGAATGTAGCGAGGAACTTCTGCAGCAGCAAGTGGCCGAATTAGAAGTGGCCGAAAATACTGAGGACACATCGAGACGTATGCATGTGTCTTTAATATTCAATCCTTTTTTTTTCAAATGCTCTGAGATTTAATTTAATTTTATCAGTCTTCTCTCTCTTCTTAGAAAATTTGTATGAAATATTTTAATGGTGCCGTCAATTATTAATGAGGATATTGAGTATACTTTACGATTTATTAGCTTTATCCTGTTTCGATTTTTAAGCCGAGTGTCAAACGACGGATTACTCGCCGTGGTCCTCGTGTTCAGTGACCTGCGGTAAGGGCCTAAGGATGCGCACAAGGTCATACAGAATGCCGGAAAAAGCCGTCATGTTTAATTGCAATAGACAATTGGTCTCGAAGGAGATGTGCGTCGCGTCTATTGCAGAGTGCTCGTGAGTACATTCGCAATTTAAGCGAACATTTACATCGTCACTTATCTTTGTGTCAAAATTTAAAAAATATCAATATTCTTCGTAAAAATTAAATCGCTTGATCATTTTACAAATATCAATCCCTCATGCATTTACTGAATAGATTTCATCCTCATGTAAATATTCATGATCAGAGAAGTCGTGTTATTTTTCAGGGGCGAGGAAGAAAGCGACGATGACGTAATTTCGTCGCGAAGCGGCAGGGACCCACTTTGCGAGACCACCGAATGGAGCGTATGGTCCGATTGTTCAAACACGTGCGGAATAGGAATAAAAATGCGCACGAGGAAATTCCGCGATCGCCGTGGCCGCAAACGATGTCCACTCGTGTCTCTCATCGAGAAGGATAAGTGCATGGAACCACCTTGCCCGGCGGGAACGGAAGAGCAGATCGATCCTGTCTGCAAGGTACGCGGTTCATCAATCCGTCTGCAGCAAAACGAATTTTTGCTATGTGATAATGTAACAATAATGGTTAATAACGGATGGTTTAAGGTAACGGAATGGTCCGATTGGTCGCCGTGTAGCGCTTCCTGTGGCAAGGGTATGAAATTGAGGACCAGGTTGCTATTAGTCGATCCGTCTCTGCAGATGGAATGCTCCTCGCGCGTGGAATTGGTTCAGCAACGACCGTGTCTCGTCCAATCGGACTGTACATTCGACATGGCAACAGCAAAAGGTAAAATATAAATTTAAAAAATTATAAAAATATAAATTTTAATATTTTATACTGAAAGAGAGAGAGAGAGAGAGAGAGGGAGAAGAGAAGAGAACAAAGAGAATCTTTTTTTGGACAATATTAAAATTAAATATTGAATTTATGACATTTGTGTATATATATGAGATATAGTTTTTCAAAATAATTATTAAATTTTGAAATATATATCACGTATCTTTTTATACAGTCGTGTGTATGGAGGAGGCAGAACCTGGCCCGTGCCGAGGCTACTTTCAGAGATGGGCCTTTAACCCGCAGAAATTAATGTGCGTACCTTTCGCATACGGGGGATGTCGCGGCAACCGAAATAATTTCTTAACTACAGACGAGTGCAACAACACGTGTAGCATCGTAAGCGCGAAAATTTCTCGAAAATATAAACGCAAAACCGAGATGTCATTAAAATTCTTGTCCCTACATAGGTACGAGCTGCTCTTACCGGTCAGTCTTTTAACGAGACCGTGAACCGAGACCAAATACCTAGCGAATCGCTTAATCCTCCCGCTCTCCCCGTGGATTGCGTGGTGACGCGTTGGTCAAATTGGTCACCGTGTAGTGTCACTTGCGGAGTCGGCCGCTCAACGAGTTACCGTGTCATCGAGGTAAGTTAATGAGTTTTGGGTAATTATGGGCACATTAATCAGGGGACATACGCAAATTCACTGATTAGATAACTGCTGCGAATTAAAATATTAATAGTAATATGAAGTGTTATCATTAATATAAATATTATTATAAAGTTTTAATAGAATGATATATTCTCCTTTCTCTGATATTATATACTCTTCTTCTTTTAATATTATTCTTTTTGTAATTAGCGAGAAGCTGCAAATGGCGGTCGTCCTTGCCCCAAAAAATTGCACCGTCGTTATCGCTGCGAGCTTCAACCGTGTGAAGAATTATAAGTTGAAAAGAAATTTTATATTCTTGAGATGGCACTTAATGTAGCATATAGTAAATATTTTAAGGATTTTAGAATATTTTATATAAATAGAAAAAGAGATAATTTTAGTTACCTATAGAGAAGTAAATTTTTGTAAAAAAATTTTTAATATTAGAACATATGACTTATACCATATGTATAATTTGAACGCATAAATGGATCATTGTGCTTTTTTACTATTTCAGGTTTTTCCATTTTTTATAGTACTTTTTTACAACTACATAGTAAAGACATATAATTTTTGTAAAAAAAATTGAATTATTAAAATCACTTGTTCGATTATCGCGAACAAGTGAGATTGAAGTCATTTAATAATATTGTACAATCTATTGATTCATATTGAACATTCCGATATAATAATATTAATCAACGCTTTTATAAAATATGAATATTATATTACTATGTTATTTCTTCACTGCCGGTGTATTGCTTGTTTTTAAATTAATCGCGTAACTAACTAACTAAGCATTATGCTGCGTTTTATATTCGCTATAAAATGTTGGGTGCAAAATAAACGAATTATCAGAATAAATGATATTTTATTAATGGTCATTTCGTGTCGGTGTTCTCTGCTAATTCCATCGAATTTCAATTGATCTTATAACGCGATATAATCGCTTTATGTCGGATAATATGTTTCTCTCGTAATGCATCTGTTTAATCAAATTCTATCGTTTACGTTGCAACAAATTAATATCACAACTCAAAGGATTAACCGTAGTATTAAATATTCATTACCATCAAAAAAAGTTAAAAATATTCTTTGTGTCTGTCAAAAACTTATCGACATTATATCACAAATATGTATACATTTAAAAAAGCAACTAAAATTAAATCCTGAGTTAAACATATCCGATTGATTCTCGCTACCGGCGTCGATTTTTTTTGCAATCACATTACGAAATTCTCGCCTTGAGCGAACATATATTCATTCAAGCGATTAATAACAAGCGCAACGCCTACGAGGCATTGCATTTGTTATCTTTATGTTCCGACATTATGATTCATGCGCCCGTAATTCACTACAAACTTTGAATTGCGACGAACGCTGTTTTTGGAAAACACTCAAAAATTACTCAAGAGATCTTTTAACGCTATTACAGTTTTCCATTATTTTTCGCGAAATCATGCGGGTGTATTCGTGGATAGAAGAATTCTATAATTATAATACATTTACAATCATATGAAAAAAAAACGATCGGATTTGCAGGACTTTTATTATTCAAATAATTTGAGTTTTTTATCTTCATACTTATTAAAATCAATTGATTTTGCTTATATGTTGTTTAAAGAAATCCCTTCTTTTTTTCCACAACGAACACTCGCTACTATCAATTGGAGATCTAACTTCATAAAATTACATTAGTAATCTCATATATAAATAATACACGTAGGCGGTAGGATGATTAAATCACTATACATCTACCAAGAGTGCCAAATCGTCAATTCAAGACTATTTAATAATGTATTAATTATTAAATAATGTAATCCTTTTATTATTTTTATATGCAATGTTACACAATTTTAAAAAATTTCATAAATTGTCTTCATTATTATTAAAAATTTATATTTTTTGCCACATTTAATTTATTCAAATTCTATTAACACTATTTTGATACTATATTAATGTTATTTTATTTAAAATAATGTTGCTTCAAATAAATACAACATATAGTTTGAGATTTGTTTTTTGATAGATGTATAGCATTTTTTTAATGACTATATCTCTTTTTGGCGCTATCGAGACCACGGGAAGATCGATGATGAATAGAGGGATGGAGCGAGCGATTGGACAGCGCTTAAGGCGACTCGCTTCTCGAGGACTTACCTGTGGTACTAATCGCGCGATTCGTTTAACACATTAACAATAGTAATAATTATTATTATTATTAACGTACATATAACGTATATGTAATATCTAAGAGAAGTAGTACGTAATATCTCTAGGACTTCCGTTTTTTTTAGGCCACTACTCGACTACGTACTACTACGGTGTGTTTTTTTGGTCGTGCCATTTGTTCCTGCTCTTCCGCATCTCGCGAAAAATTCGAGCAAATCGATTTCACCGATTTCGACGATTAAAGAAAGATTTCGAGAAGCTATTTATAAATCTTAATCTTAGACGGAGAATACGCTCTGGATCATTAAAGATCGATTTATTAGCAAACTTGGAATTATGACTGTTTACTTTTGACTGATATTTTGAAAAATGAAACTTTAAGGATCCGTCTTTTTCTCTTTTTCACGCAATTTATTGCGTATCTTGCGGAAGAAAGATTACATAATCAATTCTCTGGACACATACATACACACACGCACACACTGTGTGTGATCGTGTTATTTGCTAAACTATTGTAGAATAAAAAATAATAAAAATCCTCCATTGGCAATGATTGTATCGATTAGTTAGTAATTACAGCAAATCCGTGATATATATATATATATATATATATATATATATACACACACAGAAGAAATAAATTGCTGAAGAAACAATCACTCAAATGGAACTAGAAGGCTAATTTCGTACTTCAGTAGACCAGCTCTCTGAAGATACGATTTAACTTTATTTTGCTACTTCTTTGCTTGACACAATGTAATTCGTCGTCTCTCGAAGTTAACTTAATAATATAATAATTATATTTTTTTTCACCTTCTTGATACGAGATCTTTTGACTGACTAGTGTTGACTAGGCTATTTGTTGCCGATCCACATATGTCATTTCCGCGTTCTGGCAGTAATAGTAATAGTAATAATCCTCATTGTCAGTACTCATTTATTCCATCGATCGTTGCTTAAAGTAGTCTCGCGAAATTCCGCGACGCGTAAAACAAAAAATCCCGTAGTCTACGATCAATTGTACGGATATTTTATGGTCCTCACTAATTTTAAAATGACTAAATAATAAATGTTGCACAAATAATGCTAAATACATTTTTATGTATATTATGTCAGTATGCAACTACTATATTTAATATGTTTAAAATAAAAAAAACAAAAATAATAAAAAACTTATCAGAATCATTGAAATTTCTTTGCATAAGTAAAATGTATAAAATATAAAAATAAATAAATAAATATATATACACATAAATATAATGCAAATAAATTATTTAATAAATAGAATAATAATTTTTTCGATTCATTACCTCATCATCGGACATCATATAATTAGAAGGAAGCCACACTCGTACTGAAAGGATGCTTCATTCAGGTGGTGAAAGGAGGATGGGTCGACGAGAGGATGGGTTTCTCTTCGAGATTCCCGATGTCGCTCTTACGTTTAATCGGCATTGGCATGTCATGTCGCGAGAAAGGCATCATTGTGCGTCTGCCGACGTCGGGACGATCGTGTCGCGTGCGTGCGTGTATCATCGTCGGCGTCGTTCTAACTTCATGGCTGTTGAAGACGAAGCCCGAAGCTGAGTTTCGATTGATGTTTCCTGTCAGGTGATGTCAGCTGATTGGCCGCCGCAGCCCGGCGACACATCGGTTTCCTCAGAGCCAGCCGGTGGACACATCGTGGCCGGAAATCGGTTCGATGCCCGGAAGATGCAGCTGCGTCGTCGCCGATCCGTTTCGTCTCGCCGTAAACTTCGACGTCGGGACGCTTGCCGCTACGCTCTCCTCGGTGGTCGATGGTGTCAATGGTATTGAACTGACAACATCTGTAAAATAATGACAATCACATTGTAAGAATTTCTCTTTTTTTATATATTTACAAAATAAAAAACTTCAACGCACAAAAATACTTAAAATTTTCTAAATATTAAAAAAATTTTTACAAAGAAGTCATAAATTTAATAAAACTAAAATAAAAATCTGTATGTATATACATATAAAATATTAAATACGCGCGCGCAGGATTATTGCTGCTACATTCTCATGAAAAATGTTCTGCGTAATATTATTATATTAACTCACTTTGCTGTTCGCTGATACTGGCGACCTCGATGACCTCGAAGCTAGGCTGCTGGCTCTGTATAACTTCGTGTCGTCGAGTCGTTATTGATGATTGCGGTGTTATTTCGGGGCCTCGAGTTGGGACGCTGCTGGCGCGTTGCAGCTGCTTCTTGGAGCAGACCTTGGATGCCAGGACGGTAGCGACCGAATGTATTGTGCTTGAATCCGCGGGATTCGTATTGGTGCTGCTGGTCATCGCGGGCGTGGACGATCTCGAAGAGGAGAACTTCTTGCGCTTTTTTCTCAGGGCGGCCAAAGCCGGACCTAGGCCGTGACTGAACATGTGATGTGTCTCGTGATGATGCGCGTGATGAGAGTGAGAGTGATGAGAATGCTGCGTACTTTGTACGTCCTGACTTGCCATTTCCAAAGAAGATTTTGAGTCTGACGAACCCTCAGATCGCGATCCACCGTCCTCGGACGCCGGAGAATACACCGAGTCTTCCGAACGAGATCTACCTGGGGAGAGAAAAAAACAACGTTTGCTTATAATTATAAATTGATTCGATTACTATCATCCTATTTTACACTAGAAAGCACGAAAAAATAAAATAATAAACGTTCTAAAAATTATCAACCATTGCAATATGTGAAATTTGATATGAAAAATATATTAAATTAAAGTTCTTGACAATATTAACGAATTTAGACTAAAAGACTTAATTATAATATCAAATTACTAAATAGAAAATGAGAAAGAATAATGAATGATCCAATAAAATATTTAGTGATAATAAATATTTTTAAATAATTTTTATTTATTTTTTCTAAATACTTTTCCGCAATCTTAATTAATAAAATATAATCACATTATATTTCGTATTCCAACAAAGATTAAATTTTTTTGTTTTATTTTAATTATATACTCGTTTAAAAAATAAATGAGAAAGTCTCGTCGCATGAAAATATTGATCTATACTACTTAATTATTACGTGAGACATTAAAAAAACATTAATCGACTTACCGATCAGTCTAGACACTCTTCCGGCTTTCGCAGCCTCGATTAAAGTGCCCCAACGCTTCTTCCGGGAGCTACCTCTGATGCCGCGAATTTGTTGCGGTCCAGTGGCCAGTCCAGGCACGCTATTAGTGCTGATGTGATGTGGGCTCTTCTTTACGCCCGATCCAAATATGCCGCTTAAAGTCGAGCCAAATAGGTCTTGATGAGAGTTCTCTTGCTGCGCTTGTTGAAGGGACGCGATAAACTCGGCCACGGGCGGCAGAGTGCCGCTTCCGCCTGGTTGCGGCGCGATGTTGAAACCCTTCATCAAACGTCGCTCCTTTTGGCGGTTCTTCTTACCACCCGCACCTACGGACATCTCTTTAAAACTATCGTCTACGGGGTAAACAAAAAATCGACGAACAAGCAATCTACAACAATTTAAAGACCCTTAAAGAAACTTAAACAATTACGTAGATAGCTATGTTCAATAATGCATAATGTATATGTAAATAATGCATAATGTAAATGAAGGATATAAATTACAATGTATAGGCAAATGAAGACAATATATATATATATATATCCGATATAGAATAAAACAGTGTAACAAGGATTGAAAGAAATATAAAAAAAATTTACATCTTTTAAAGCCTGCTCGAGTTTTTAAGCAGTTGGAAAGCTTTTAAGCTATTTATATATTAATGAAAGAGAAATTTTTTACTACTTTATCACAATTAAAGAAAAAAAATAAAAATTAGATTATAACGCACACACAGATATTATTTATATTTATTTGAAATTTATGCGGGATACACATATTTTCTCATTACGAATAATCAGAGATTCAAAGCGGCGCAATAGCTGAATAGTAGTTGGATCCTTAATTACGGTAATTAGCTCTGAAACTCTAAATGATTAATGGGGCCTTCTTTAATTTCAAATTACAAGAGGGGACTCTCATTCGGATGACTAATGTGAGCGTTACTGCGAGTAAAATAATGATCGGCATCCTCAAGCAGAATCGCGGAATTAAATTTAAAGTTTCGACATTACGCGTGATATGATTAATGATTTGCGGATTACCAGGAATTGCGCACCATCGCTCATATGTGATTCTTGTTGTTAATTCGGTAACATTCGTTTGTTACCGTGTCGAATGCACGATTTTGTTTTAGAATCGAAATGTTATTTAATTGCATAAAATTAAACGATAAAATTGTTTCAACTTTCTAAATAAATTCGTTTATGAAAAAGAAATTGATTCTCACGATCGATATTCAGCATCATACATTTTACATCAGTAAAAACTATGCAAAATCGATGCATTTCATGCGGAATATTTATGCGACTTACCGGTACCGCTGCTCGCTGCCGTGGACGTGTTCATCCCGGAATTCTTGAGTATCTCGATGAGCTCGCAACGAAATGCGCTAATGTCCTGTTTGATCTCGTTTACATCGTCCTCTGTAACGCCCTCATTTTCCGCCTTGCGTTGTTCAACGGTGACGTATCGTCTTACCAAATTTCTCATGATACTTTGATATCTAAAATCTCGCTCGGAGGCCTGCTTGACTTTTCGCTGAGAAAGAAAAGAATCAGAAATCCTTTCAGCATCAAGTTTTCATTACAAAGTACATTACGATACATTCTACGCAGTGTGTCCTAGATTTGTCAAGCTATTGCATTATTTGAACTTTTTGAACAATTTAAATCTTCTCTTAGTGAAAATACGAAGCGTCACTATAAGTTATTGTTGACTTTTATTATAAAAGATATTGTATATTAATATTATGCAGAATCGAAAACATAATAAAAAAAGGAGATGACTCTTTGTGCAAGATTAAATTAAAAATATAGAGAGAATCTTTTCTACATATTATACTTTGTTTTCGGGAAAAATTAGTTTGAATATTGTTAGAGAAACTCTTTTCTCTTCAATCGTTTGTAGTTTGAAAAGTTATGGATCTTCGTTATTTTTGTTAAAAACTACCTTCAAACCCTTCAACCACAGAGTCGATAGATAAAAGTTGATGGCCTGGGAAACTCCGTATATATCTAAGCCCGATCTATAAATATGCAAAACGTGTTGTGACTAATAACGACAAAACTTTGCCATGGATTTAATATCTTCTACAAGTTCTAAAAAATGTGAAAACTTTTCTCCTGGTGCTCAAAATCCTGCTCTAAATATTCTTGCCACTTCTCCCATATCTAAGGACTAAATTTTTAAATTTAAAAATGAGACCGTAGCTTCGGAGAGAAATTCGCAGAAGATTTCGTACGATAAAGCGCACTTTTCAACATTTTTCAGTATTCTCTCTGAGCTGAATTTCTCACAATAGTGTATTGACATTTTATTTCTTGCTCTGCATTTCGCAAGAGATAAGAGATTCACGTTCACAAATTACGTGCAAGAGGAATCCCCAGAGAATTTTATTACAAAGATGACAGAACGTTACAGTTACTATTCTAACTATTCGAAAATTCTGCGAACTATCCTTTACCCTAATCGTGCGCATGTGTTCCTTCTTGGCCGCCCTGCTGTGTCCGCAACACTTCCGATATATCCATTGCACGACGTACCAGGCGCTCTTCGGGGTAGGTATAATGTTAAAAGGCGGCGGAACTGTTCCACCCTCCTCGAAATAGCTGATCCAGAGTTTGCTCCTCGCGAATTTCCACTCGACGTCGGCGCGTTCCTAATTACGAGCACATCGAATTGCCCCTAATTAGCTTCAGTTAATTATAAACGCGAAAAATATATGATACATTTCGCAGCCGTTGTTGTTGTCGTTTTTCAGAATCTCGCGAATTTCATTTTCATTAATTCTCACGAAGACGAATAAGTGTCGCTTTCGTGTTTAATGCGACTAAAGTTAGCGATTTCATTTATAGTTTCTCTCATTTTCCCCGTTTCTGTCTAAAGTTCTTGTAACTATGCTCGAAGATTTTGTCATAAATAAAGTCGAAGAAATTCGTAGAGAAGATAGGAGACACTTACCGAGATTAATTGATAGGAATGATTCATCATGGCGATTAGGAGATTCAGGAGGACGACGATGTTGATGACCGAGTAAGTGCCAAACATCAACATACCCCAGAACCTAGTGAACACTTTGATGCCGTCTAATTCGAAGCTCTCGAGGTCCACCAAGCCGAAAACCGCCCAAAATAGTGTTTGTATTGTCTCAAACAAACTGCCGCGAAAATCTTTATCATATATCATTCAAAATAATTTAAACAATATGATACATAAAGTATAATAAAAAGAAAAAATAGAATTTATAATATTTAATGAATTTATATCATATTCTATTATAATATCTATTTATATTATATTTTTTTATAATATCTAATTTCTGGAATAAAATATCTGGAATGAAATAAATATAAATATAATATATAATTTTAATTTTTCTTATTTTTTTCGCACTTTACATGGGAATTAAACTCTTTTTAATTCCATATTTTTTATAATGCACGTAAATATTTATTAATTTTAAAAAATTGACACTACATACTTTGCGAATCGGCGCCAAACGATACATGCGTTGGAATCAGAAGTAACATTGGCGTTGGGTGAATATGCCATCGCCGTGGGACATCGTTTCTTCTCCATGTCGGCGTAATACCAGAGAAGTTGATTGAGTCCTAACAGATGTTATGTGTTTACGTTAATATTTCTTTTGTGCAATGTGTGTCTTTGTATCGTCATGATTTTTTAATTTTATTTACCGCACGAGAAAGCGAAGAGAACCAGCACATAGAGAAAAAAAAATTTCATGATATCCACGACCATCCTCGATAGGGAAACTTGCAGTGGACCGAGATGAGGATTCACAGAGAATATGTAGACGAGCTTTAGCGAACTACAACGTAACATTGTTCATTGTTGTAATTCAAATAATACCGAGGAATAGTTTCCTATATTAACTTTCTCAATTTTTTCACATTATGTAGCATATTGCTGCACGACTCTTTAACGTAATTAAAAATTCACTCGTATTCTAGACGCAATGCAGTAATTATTCGCATTCAAAATGCATTTTAAATGCAACGCATTTAGTTACATAAATTTCAAAATCATGAAATTAAAATTAAAAAGAAATCAATTTTCCGTGAATTATAAAATTTTCAGCAAAATTCAAAACAGAAAACTACTTATATTTTTGTTACACATTCTAATAGATATGCGTATTTTATTTCTGCAAATATATTTTACATTACACGATATAAAAGTAAAAATAAAATTCTGCATCGAAGTATATCGCGAATTATAGATTGTCTAAAATAAGCTTAAAAAATATTATAACATTATTTATTTATTGCCTTATAAAAAAATAAAATATTTAAAGAAATTGTACACATATTTTAGTTGTGTAAAGGATTACAAAATTAAAAAGATTACCTTAGTTTATCGCGCGATTATTTTATTCTAAACTCCTAGACAACAACGGAGATATACAAAGTGCTCTCCGAGCGCTTGTGCGATTTATTACCTGAAGATGTTGGCAGCGGAGAAGAGGCCCTCGGAGATGAGCATCGGATCCCAAGTGTCCCATTGCTCACGCTGAAGCTCGATCAGTGATCCCGATGCCTCGTTTTCCTTTTGCACTCTATAGTAAGCTACGACTCTAAGCGCGACTGTGGCTACATACAGCGAGTTCGTTATGAAGTCGATCACATTCCACATGTCATTCACGTATTCCTCCAAGCCCACGTCCCACAATTGCTTCACCTCCGACCAGATCAACCCCGATACCCAGGCCAATATAATCCTATAGCGCATTACATTTTGATCGTTTCGTTTCGATTTTAGTCTCTTTAAGAGAAAGAAAGAGAAAAAAGACGAAAAAGAAAAAGGAGGAGAGAGAGAAAAATTTATTTCATTTAATGTCTTTCAATTCAATTGATATTGTCCGAAATTTAATTTACTTTTATTTAAAGTTTCTTTTAATACCTCTTTAGTTTCTCAATATCTCTTTTCTTGTATTTCTTTACTTTTTATTATTGTAATATATTACTTACGTCTTTATTTATTAATTATTTACTATAGAGTTAGGGATAATGTAAAATCAATTCAGACATGAAGTGAGCATAAATTTGCAATATGACAGGTCTTGAGTCTCTCATTTCGATCTCGTCATCGTGAGGAAAAGACCTCTCGAGATTGCATGTGTCTCCGGGGCTTTATCTCGTTTACCACCGACTTACTGCATGTAACGCTTCTACGTTCCATATTACCGTCTTCCGCACGAACGGAGAGTGTCATAAGCGGTAGATATTAAATGGATTTTACCCGGCTTTCCTTACTTTACTCTTCTTATTTCTTAAGTTCATACTTTTTCTTTTCACAACTTACTATTAAAATTACTTGTACTTTTCGCGTAAAAGATTTCTCTCGCTATTATTCTTATCCAAAATTAAGAAACTTAAACTGTCAAGTTGAAAACTTTAATAACACGTAATACAGAAATGAAAGAAAATCTTACCATTCCACGACCGTTGGTGGAGCCCCACGTTTCGTTCGCGCTGGTTCTTCTACAACGTCGTGTCCCATCCAACTATCGATTACGTTTTCTATCCGCTGACTAGCCAGAATTAACATGACTGCGCAAACAAAATTATGCGTAATTATTGTTAAAAATTTTTCATTGTTAAAAATTTTTGCCGGAACAGAGATAAAAATAATAGATAGAAAAAATAAATCGTATTTCGTTTTCAAGTCTGAAATAGACTTCAATTTGGTGAGATTTGACATCTCAAATGCAAATTAGTTAAAAAGCTGCAAAGAATAAAAACAGCTTTTTTATGAAATTTATTTTCAAAAATAAATCATTTTTAAGTTTCGCTCTAAATTAATTGAAGAGTCTGCTATTAAAATTTTTTTCAAATAAAATAGAGAAGTATTTTATATAATTACGTATATTAAATAATAGAAGCCCATGATATATCGTTTGTGGTCAATCATGCAATTAATTATTCTCGGAATGTTTCTTTACCGTCTGAATTCCGTACATTAGTGCACCACTATTATTGGTAGCGGCATCGAAAGGTATTTGTAAACTGTTTAATGTTTACCACATAAGTGTTTGATCTGCCAACGTGCCGGAAAGTTAAATATGCCATAGGAAATGCTGCTCGTAATGCGTGTCGCTCTCCTTTTCGAACACTTCCGTAGAATGAATCATACTGAATATTGCTACACACGTGAAATTATTTGGTCATTACATGTAAGACATCGAATTTTTAAAACTTATAAGATGAACGTCTATTAATAATCAAATGTATCATATGTATCGTTAAAATAATACCTCTTATAAAGTTTTAAGTTTTACAAAATGTTTGCAATTTCTCAAATTATAGCAAATTAATGGAAAAATTCATGTAACTTTATTAGATGATTCTAAAATATATCATATATGTATGTCTGTATGTATGATATGTGTATGTGTATAAATGTATAATATTGCAAAAATAATTTATATAGTATTTCCCATATCTAGGAAAAAGAATATTCAAATTAATGTAAAAAATGTTAATATTAATGTAAAAAAATGGAAATTAATATTCAAAATTTAATGCTCGAAATATGAAATTGAAAATATTTTTTAGATTTTTCTATCTTCAAATTTTCTCCATTTGATCAATTAAAATTATTTTTCTTTTTAAGAAATGTGAAAAAATATTGTCTTATTGCACTTATTTTATTGCCTAAAAATTGTTAATGTAAAATTGATATTTTATATGCAATGACTCAATAATTTACATTAGCTCGTATGTATGCTAAACTAGATAATATTATATTCAATCAAATAATTCCTCTTATCTTCCCTTAATGGAGAAAAAAATAGTTGATCGTAAAAGTAAAATTCACATTTTGTTAGCTTCGTGAAAATTTCTTGATAGAATTACATATTAGCTCATCAATACGATATTTAATCGATTTGATTATTTCAAAAATTAACAAAGTATCGTAGAAGAAAAAACAAAATTATTGAAGAAATAAAAACAATTTTGATACTTTATATATAAGTGCTACAGTAACACGAGCCATTTCAAATTGTTTCACTTAATGGAATGTGCACATTTTCGATTTCGGAATCGATCTCTCCAATATACGTAGTTAATACGCTAAATCATATATATATTGATCTCAATATTGATTTCCGGCATCGCAAATCGAATAACGTCATTGATTTCAAAATCAGATATTGCATTGCAACAATTATTTGAGCCAATTTCAATCGGAAATCAGTTATTGAGACTAGAAACAATTTCACGCATCAATTTTGAAATCGAATATGGTTTCAGTTGTGAAGCGAACCAAGAATAAGAGGGATGTTTGTAGGAATTGGCGATAGGTATCGAGCTGATTCAGCGGTGCCACTGATATTTCCGGAATGAACCGGATATTTAGGTCACGTTGATCAAGTGTGGCGAACAATCTAGGAAATGGCAGGTTATGGCCGGATGTCGTGCCAAGTGGTCAGATTTAAAGCGTGACAAGAAATTGCTCCGACTATAAAATGCCTCATCTATTATCGGAGCATTTTATCTGTTTTGCACGAATTAGCGTAAAGATTTATTTTATCTTTGATTTTATCAGTATAATTAATAGATAAACAGCGCTTTATGTACACAGCTTAAAAAGTTGCAACTTCTAAAACTAGACCATATCTAAGTAAAGTTAAATTACGTTGCAACTTATAAAATTGTGAAAATATACTTACATAGAAAAGTGAAATACGACGCGGAGTTACAGATGAATTTGATAAATGGCTTTCTCATGGTCTGACCGACCATGCTGTGGGGTGCGATGATGTATGCCACGCTGAAGAATGGGAAAAGAATGCCGATCCTGACGATCTCCAGCGCCTGGAGGAACATGTTCTTTCTTCGGAATCCTGGCAGACCCTCGTACCAGATCGATGCGAGTAGCTGTTGTACATTAGGATGCGCCACGAACTGAAAACATCCAGGTAACGCGATATTGACCGACAGCTTCCGGTCACGCGACTGAACGAAAGGTAGCAATACCCGCGCAATCAGAGTTTAAACTGCAATTGCTGTCTAAACTGTTGTTCCTTATTAATTATATCATTAAACAAACGAACGTCCTCGATCTCTGCTTCACTGTTTAATTGAAGCTCAATTAACCCTGTCTATATTTCGAGAGTTGCAATCAAGTAAATTGATGACATAATTGTTATACATCTTACATATGTTTGAAATTGTAGAAAATCTCTCCGCATATTCGATTTGAAATAATTATACGATTATTTAAATATATACAAAATTTAACGTTGCATATTTCATTATCAAGAATATAAAAAAAATTTAAGATTTATAAGATATAATTAAAAAAATCTAAATAAGATTTATCTCTTTCGTTTCAATTTTGTATACCTTTTTTTGCCTGAGCTTAATGGCTAATTTTAAGCGATTGAGATGCATTCTCTCTCCGTGTTCAAAAGCTGGTCCCGTTGGGTCGTGATTCAGCAGGACTTCGAGCTCGTAGGAACTTCTAGTGTGGTCCAGCAAAGCTGTCGCAAAATCTTGGCACTGTCTTCGAAGCTCCTGAAATCACATATATTGTCGATATAAGTATCTCGTAATGCAATTTCGAAAACGCGCATATCCTTTAAAGCATCTAATTTTCTAAGATTGTAAAAAATAATTCCCCTAATTTTGTTCAGAGAATTCAAAATGATTTCTCGATATTTCTAAGGGAAATTCGAATTCTCTGTGCTGCTGCTTCACGTGTCAGAAATTACAAGTCGCAAAGGAATTCTCACGCTTGACAAAGCCAAGCTGATCGAACTTCCAGGCTTCCTGCAAGGTCGACAAGCGTTCGAGATCCTATCCTAATCGCTCGCCAATCTTGCCCCGAGTCCAATCGGATTCTCGTCACGTACTCATGGATAATAGTATCTACGATGTGTCTCGCATTGTTAGCTGGCGAACAAAGTCAAGAATCTCCACAGCAAGTTTTTTTCTCTTAATAAAATGATATAAGGAAACTGTACTTGTAATCTATTTTTTAATTTAATTGTTTACCAATCGTCAAACAAATATCATTTGGCAGGAAGGATTTGTCTGTCAAAGTATTTCACATAGTTTTAAATATAATAGTTTTTTTCTATTTGTTATTCTAGAAATTATTTTTTTGGTAATTCCAGTTATCTCAAGTTATTATTTATTATAAAACGAAAAATATATGTGATGCAAAAATAGAAGTTAAAGAATAGACAAGATAATGTTATTGCGAAGTTATCTGAAAAAGCATGGTTTATCTGAAAAATCCACTGTTACCCCAAATTGGAATCTGCAACATCAAGTTGCTAATCTTTAATCTCAACGATATCGTAAACTGAAATTGTCTCACGGGATGCAAACATTCACATCAGACAATGCACGATATTTAACATATCTCCCAATATTTTTCTGTGATGGATAAAAAGAAGAAGAAGATATTTTGCTATGCATAAATATTACATGAAAGATTAAAATATCAGGTCGAGTGTGGCTTAAATATGAATAAAAGGGATTACGAATAAAATTATCTTTTTTTTCCAAAGTAAAAAGAAGATAGGAATACAGTACACAATTGAGAAAGAAACTGAGAAGGATTGCTTAGCAATTTATCAAATCTTATTCATTTTTCTTCAAAGTCATTTTGATCGAGCTGTTTCCCATGATTGACACTTGATAAATAGGAAAAGATATAACAATGGGGGAAATAAAAAGATGATGCTTCTGAAAGAAAAAGTGAGTGGAATGAAGAACAAAGAGAAACGAGACTGATGATAACGTTGAAAAAGGTTGAGAAGGGCTAAGGGACAAAATGGGAATGTTGACGAGACTGAAGAAAAAACAAAAGGCATGATAAGAAAAATTATAAAAACATAATATCGATAGTAACACGTTATTGTTTCGTTCGCCATATTGCTGCTGGAGAGCGCAATTTATACGAATATAAATCAAAAGTTGCTTGAGCATGCATGAATATTTAAACTTTTGCTACTTAAGTACATAGAGAAGTGAAAAATATAGAGGCTAACGTAGCTTGAGAAACGCGCTTCACCTCAGCTCGAGGAACAAGAGCGAAAACGCACCGCGCAAACATACATCTACATGACCGCTAAATTAAGGAAAACACGTGTTAACTGTTGTACCAAAGTGCCTTACCGCAAGATAAATTTCTCCCGTGAAATAAGACTACTACACAAGAAGGAAATTGTTGAAAAGGAAACAATGATTGCATTTTAATTCGCTCGAGAAGGAAAAACGAATCGCGAATTTTTTGTCATGTATTGTCTTTGTATTAGAAAATTGGTCATATCATATATTATATTTATATTTCATTATAAAAATAATAAGGATAATGTAAATGAATATAAATATTTTTACCATTTTTTCACGAACGATAATTAATGATAAAATTCGAGATGATTGTTGCGTATAAAATATAATGTAAATAAATTTAATTTAATTTGTACAATTTTCGAAATAATTTTTGAGAAAATAAAATATCTAATTAAAGAATTTAAGAACGTTTCTCTTAGAACAAAAAATTACTTTTGTAATTTTATTTCAATCAATTGTAGACAATCTAAAAATAGAATTGGAAAAAAATACTTTTTAAAATTTTCAACGTTTCACAAGATTGTTGCATTCTGAAAAATCATAAATATTCCGCTGAAGCATTTTTTGTGAAAGAATTATAGCGCGTAACATTTATCAAGTAATATCTTATTTTATTTAAGAGCATTCCATACATACGAGTATAAAGCTGAAACTTTTATTTGGATGTATTGTAACGATTCAATATGACAAACTATATTATTCGAAAAACAATTGCAGGAAACATTCATTTTTTACCTGATACTCGATCTTGAATTCGTGCTCCAAGAACGAGAGTCGTCGAAGTTCCCAAGAGAGCTCAAAGGCAGTCAGAATGGGATCCTTAGACGACAGTGCTATCAAGGACGGCGATGCCAATGCCCGATAGGCATTTATTCGGCTCCTCGAATGCCTCAGGGAATCCTCCATTCTCGATGTCACGCATTCGTCGCATCTAGTATAAATAACAAATGGCAACAACAATCGAAATGAAAACAGCTCGGTAGATCACCTGTGAGTTTCTCGAGTATTTCCCAAGACGACCGCGTGTCTCATGCCGTTATATCATCTTTTAAGACAACTGCAGTCTCTTTTATCAACATCTCGACCGTTACTCGACTGGAAATCTAATTTTAATCGAGAAAAACTTATTTACGTTGAAATTATATACTAATCTAGAATTTTACTACAAAGCTTTTTATTTTTATATACGCAGCGAATATGACATATATAATTTTAAATAACAATTTTTCGCGTAAATTTCGAACACGGAAAAGTGTCATTTTTTAATAAAAGTTATACTATAAATAAAGAATGTAAAAAAATTTCTACCTTTGTGTGATAATGGTACTTCTTCAAACTTGTATAAAAAATATTGTTATTCAATATCGTTTTGTATATTTAAAACTCTATTCTATTTCTTTCATATATACATATAAATATCATTTATTTATTTTTTGTTATTTTATTTTTATATTCTAAATATGAATATGTCTTACACATGAATATATCTTACACATGATACTTTTGTGTAATACATTATAACATGATATAAAAAGTTAATCTTCTGCTTATGTATATATCAGTAAAGAATTCGGATAGTTTTCTATGGTTTCAGTGCAAGATATGAGACAAAGGTTTAGGAGCTTAATATGATGTAATGCTATTATATTGCAAATTAAATTTTCTCTTGGAAAGTGGCAATGATGGTAACATGGCGCTCATGTACGCTTAGCCTAATTTAATTAGCTTTTGTCGCATCGTACAAAGGGATAAGGCGGTAAACCGGTCGAGAGTATTAATTAGTCCCAAAAAGAGTGCTCTTATACTTAAATCAAGGATATTAAAACATAGAGAGAATAATTAATGCTCATTCCTTTTTGAGAAATTCTTTTTTTTTTCAGAAATGAGTATTACATGTAGGTATAAATTACATAATTATATGAAAAATTTTTTTCAATTTATGTGAATTATGTTTATATGTATATTTTCGTTCTTTCTTTCCTTTAAAATTACCTTCTACTTTAAATAATGTATCTCAATAAATTTACATTACTAAAACAATGATTTGAATCTTTTATTAAAAATTTTATTTTAAATATTTCTTGCATAAAATTCTATAAAAGAAAATTTATGTTCGAGCAATTTTCTTTACGCGCAATTGCACTGTGAATTGCATTCAATTCCATATATAGTTCTTACTTGTCATAAAGGTGGTCAATAAATTTTTGAAATATCTTACCCACAGCGAACATCGTGTGGCATCGGTAGAGTGGATCCACGATCCAGAAGGATCTTTATGATTTCGTAGTTGTCCCTATGGGCCGATAAGATCAGCGGCGTAATATCCGGCGTAAATGTGGCTGTGTCAGGAGGTAATGCCTCCCAACTCTAAAGAATTAAACCGCAAGTCAGTACTTTCATAAAAGTCCATCGCTCGACCGTTTCTTTTTTTACACAAGTAATGTACAAATAATTTTTATTTAATTCTATTTATCTAAAATCATTATTCACGCGAATTACTTTTTGCAATTATCCTTCTTCGACGAGTGTAATAGATGTTTGAATTAATCTCTTTTTAGCGAAATAAAATAACACGAGACATCATAATAATTCTTTATCTTGACAGGGAAATAATAAAGTAATACGACTAAATGGGGAGACATTTTATGCCACACAGACAATTGACAAATAATCTCTCTTGATGCGAAGTCGCACTGCCATTGTACTAGCGTAATCGGCTTAATCAGTCATCACCACGGGCGGTAGACTTTTCTTCACAGGGAACCAATTCTCCATCATATAATGAATTCGTTCGACGCTTTCGAATATCATTCCATCGAAGTTCTGTCTAAGCTGATTTCTTGTTAAAGCCGATTAGACTTCTATTTAAAATTTCGTATTTTACTTTTTTCTCTTATAATTCATTTCTCGAGTTATTCGTTTCCTCCTTTACTTTCACGAACGACTTTTCAGTTATTTGCTTTGACAGAATCGTCTTTATGGTCGAGAGAAAGACCGATTGACGGTGAAATAAAGTACAGAAAAATCGCTTCTAAAATAACCGAAATAACGAGTAATCAATTTACGATCTAATTAATTTTTAGACTCTACACATTTTATTTATATACATTTTATTTGTACATATTTTTATTAAACTGCATTTAGGACGGAACAATTTAATTATACAAGTCAAGTTAGATCATAAATTGCAACAAAAAAGAGAGAGCAATATAATTTATGTGAAAAGAATAATTGTTGAATTAAACTTAAAGATAAAATATATATTAAAATAAATTATTATTTTTTATCAAGATGTCGCATTCACTTTTGAAAAAAATCTATATAAAGAAAATGTATATAAAGACTTACATGTGGCTCGCCATTTCTGTGAAGGCTTTCTTCATGCTCCAAAAGGACCTCCACTGCTTCGACGAATTCTTCGGAGATAGCGTGAAGGAGTGCATCCTTTGTATCGACTTTGTGTTCTATTAAAAGCTCCACCATCTCCAGATTTTCATTATCGATCGCCATGAGCAGAGCCGATCGCCCGAGAGGATCCACGCAGTTGATGTTAATGTCGGCCTCCTGGGCTTTTTGGAGCATTCTACAATGACAGGAGTACTCAGAAGATTGATGAATTGCCGTTTAAAATTTGTAAATACAAATACTTTTATATATAAAAGTTCCAAAGACTGAATGTTTTTTTACTACATATATATGTGGTTAACTTGAAGATATATTTTCTTTAACACTTCTTCCTAATCTAACTAAAAATTATTTTTCCAATTCGCGGTTGTCATTCCAATTTTTAACAATGTTAACAATTTTTCAAGAATAATTCAAATTAATATTTTATTAACAACCATTTAAAATTATTTGAAAAATGTAATTTTGTTTTAACTTGGCAAAATAATTAATTTAATTCTTTAATTTCACTTCAATATCTCCGTTAAAAAATTTATTTCAAATCATTCAAAGAATGTATAAAAACAAGAAAATATCCGATAGATTTTAATCTTTAATGTATAATTTCAGATAAATTTTCAATATAATTTTGCGAAAATTTAAAAGAACCTATTTTATTCAGAATGGTTCGATTACTTTCACACACTTAAATAATTTATAGAATTATATAACAATACTAAGTGTTACACACGAGAAGAATTTCATGAGAATGAGAAATTAATTATAAATTATAATCAATTTCAATTGCGTTAACATGAGGAGAAAATTTCCGACATTTTCATAATCATACGAACAAGCCTCATAAGATATTCAAAGGTTCTTTACCACAATATTGAAAATTTATTCATGTATACCTAAGAATTGTAAAATAGCATTAAAATAGGAATGAGTTGTTCTTCGCAATAATATTAAGAAATAAAATTTTCACTATATAGCTATAAATAAAAATTTTTTAAATGTAAATTTAAAAAGAATAATCTTTCTGATATATGTGTATTTACATGTAAGTACATATATATATATATATATATATATATATATATATATATTTATAAAATTAAGTCAAAATTATACAAAATAACTATATTTTATAATTAATCATACAAATTTTTATAAAACATACATACTAAAATCCAATTAGCGTTATAAACTGTGGTCTGAAACTTACTACACTTTAAAGATTTTAAGTGAAATAAAGTTTTCGAACAATTGTAACATTTAATGTTGCTAAAAGTTATTGCCATTAAAGTTCGTATTCTTTTTTTTTGGTACGAAAGAAGTTTCATTTCCTTGCTGGATTTCTGTTCACACGAGATAAGTCTTTTACTCAGTACAGTTTTCTATTTTTACCGGCACGTGTGTATGCTCGTGTTCACAGTTAAGATAACAAGAACGATAATCGTATGCTTAATTCAGAAAAAGACGGAGAGATACCGATGTCAGAAGAATAGTAAGGATACACATGTATATCTCGTAAACAAAAAATTTATCAGTACAAATAAATAAACTTTTTACATAAGCAAATATTTTACATTCGAGAGTAAAATAAAATTTTTATCTACCTTTTCCTCGTCTTTTCCTTTTTCTGTGGTATATGTATATATTATACAGAAATATTCTTAAATTGTTAAAAGATGAAAAAACTGTTTGTTTAGATAATGTCGTGATAAATGACACGAGTGCTAAAAATATATTAAATTAAACGAAAGACATATTCGTTCTTATTGTATACTTTTTACAATATAAAAAGATCAACAAAATTCAACGGAAATGCTTAACCATAAGTTTCAACTCGCCTTCTAACGGAAGCTACATCTCCGCGCTCGACGGCAAGAAGATATTTCTTCTCTTGAAGCGACAGGGTGGCCATTTCCTGATGAGGTCGCACTACGTTTTCTTCCTCCATCATGCCGTGTATACTGTGTCTCTATAAACGTAATAGTAACATAATAATAATAATTTTCTTTATGATTGGAATGTACATCTAACAATAAAAATACTTTATGTCATATGATATAAATATTATTGACTATTAATTGGAATAAAAAATGTATAATTCTTGGAAATTAATAACGTTTCTCTGAAATCTCACGAAGTGCATTAACAGTATTCTGACGAATTGTTTAATTACTTCAATGCAAATACGGATGTTGCTGAGAAAAATTTTGTTCTGAAACATAAATAGCGCTTCCGTAATTTTTCCGTAGTTACTACCATCAACTTAAGACGTAAAGTTGGTCGTATTTTTGTAAAGTTATGTATATTTAAAGTTCCTTTTAAAGCTTTCACTTATTCATTTCCAAATGTTTTCGCTTTGCTTTAGCTAATGCATCGAATTATTGTTGCAAGTCGCATATTACGTTACACATATTTCATCGATCTAGGCATCTCTCTTTTATGTTGCTTTCCATCATCATTATAATGGCCGTGCGCAATTCAACGCTTGCTACACGATTTCCGTTCACGCGAAAATGCAGAATTTAGTTAGAATCGAATGCGTCCGCACACAAGAGTAGTTAACAAGGTGAAATGCAACCAATCTGAAGATCAATTGCAGTCTCTCATGGTTGCATTCGAGGAATGTGTAACACGAACGTAACATTACATTCCGTATTGCGTGCTTTAATTCTATCGGTCCTTTCCTCTTTGATCTCCGGTTTCATGCTAAATTTAAACTTTTGTTTAATTATTAATAAAGCCAACATTTAATCCTGCGTATTAAATTCTACATTTTTGTAATAAATAAATAAATAAATATATATATATATATATAATTATTATTATTATTATTATTATTTATTAAACATCGAATTAAAATTCTATTGATATAAAATTTATTTGAATTAAGCTGGAATTAAATGTAAATTGTTTCATTATCTATTTGCAATCCAAAAATTTAATTGATCGTAATTAATCTTTTATGTTATTTAATTATTAAATGCGAAATAATATTTTATTGTGATTTAAAGTCAATATTAAAATTATGAATAGAACGATATAATTTTAATTTTAAGAAGATTAATTTTATTAACTTTAAGAAGATATTAATTAAATATCATCAATTGCATAGATATAAATATTAATTAAATATCATCAATTGCATAGATATAAATAATACTTCACCGTTCCGCGTATAAAATATTATATTTGATTTTATTTCGCCTATGGATCATAAATCGTGTTTAACAGCTTGTTTTAATTGTCGCTCATATAAACTGATTATACGTAGAATGATAATTATATATATATATATATATATATATATATATATATATATGTCACAAATGACGATGCATTGAAGCAGATATTAAGCTGAGAATTAACGCTGTTTTATTATCGAAAGTTATTAAAACACAATTATTGAAACACACACGGATCGACCGATACATATATATTGCGGGCCTTTTCTCTCTGCAATAAATTCTGTCATGATACCCATCATTCAATGATAGCATATGTATTATATTGCTCGAGACTCGATCCATAAATATCGGACACGTGTACGATAAATATCGCGGAGAGACACAAGCATACACCTTGAGTGTAAATCTTGACCTGATGGCTCAGTGTTTCGTATCATCGGATCTTCACCTTGGTGGGATCCACTTTTAAGAGACGAACGCGTGGCAGTTATTTGGCGAAAAAGAATCGCGCGAGCCTTAGCGAACTGTAACAGTATGTGTATGATATATGATGTTTATCAAGGGTGTGTCAGTTCGACAATTAAGGTGCGCCTTAGTAAACACTTGTCAATGTCCGTTTTCGTGATATCATATAGTATCTCAAGTGCCTCGTCGTATTAGAATATGCTTTCCCTTTTTTACGTCTGTATCTTTCTCTATGCATCTTCTTCATCACATAAGAAATTAATTATAATTGGAGCTTGATTTTTTATGATCCAAAATGTGAGTATGTATTACGATGTACAAAATTCAAGTTATAATTATTATACAATGTGTAGAATATGTCCTTTTTAGAAATGGATTAAAACATCACAAAGAGCGCACATAGCCTATTACTCTAATTCCAGATAAATTATTTCTTCAAAGCAATTTATTAAAGCAATTTTTCTTTCTTAGTTGCCTTCCATTCGATAATTTGCAAGAATTGAATGAAATGAAAATGGAGTTCGTTTTAGTATGTGGCCTAAGGATATTGAATCCAATTGTTCTCAAATCTTTCATGAATCTCTTTCTAAAGCTTCTTTTTAAAACGCTTTCGCGTTTTATGGTACTTTATTGTGAAAATATTAGGGCAAACTCGAAGTATACAGAATTCCGTTTCGCGCTTGAATTGTATCGACGACCTCAATCTCGGATATTGATTTCCACTTTACAAAAAAATCTCTTATCATTGATAATTTCGAGACTACTGTTTTCACAGGATAATGCGAATTTGGCGAAAGAAAGATCCGCAAGCGAAATTTCTTTTAATTTCGCGAGGAGATTTCTTTTTGCCTTTTTCCGACAAAAAGTTGCTTCTGACACGAGAGATGGTTTTACAAACAGAATTAAATCCACAAATAGAAAGGAGAGATAAGCGCAGAAACGCTCACCGACCGTGGCATCTCGCTCATTGTGGATTAAATACTTTGTTTTAGTACCCTTGTTACGCCGAACAACTTAAAGGATTCCAAGCCTCAACATGAGTAGAGGTTTTGGCAAACAGACATCTAATAACGTTTATAAATTCTATATCATTAAAGAATTATTTAATGCAACATATGTGCGGCTTAAAAAGAGGTCCGGTGTTATAAATTTTGTAACCTAAATTAACATGCGATATACATTTTATATACGAATTTCAAATACGAATTTAAATAATTCACACATTTTAGACAGTTATATAAAAAGGTCGATTCGATATTTTTTATTTTTATTTTTATAAATGTACAGTACAGTACTACTTAAAAATATTGAAATAAATAATTTTTTGTTCCTTTGCGGTTTAAAAAAAATGATTTAGTAAAATATTTTATTGAAAATTATTTGTTGTGAGTAGAGATTTATAGTAAATATATAGAAAATAAAATTTGTTAAAGTTTCTACATCGCTTAATTAATTAAAATTAGTGAAAAAGAATAGTTTATGTTTTATTTTGATTACAAGATACGTGTTTTTATCGTTCTATCAACATATTTTATATACTAAACTGTACAGATTATGTCAACTGTCTTTAATGTCCATTCAGGTAACTATATCTATTGTCTCTATATTTGGTCTGTATTTCTATTGTCCGCATTCGGCTATTTCCGCATATACTGTCTGCACGTGTTCTAGTCTATAATCACTGTCTGTGTCCGACTAGACACTGCCTGTATCTACTATTCGCACTCCTGACTCACGCATGCGTCAATGAATGCATTCCATTTGACATGCTATATTTCTGCTATCGGTTGCAGTAGTTATCTATTATTAATATCAATTATATATTTATTAGTATTTGTGTAAAGTACATATAGAAAAGAAAAAAACATAAATGTATAAAATACAAAATTTTCAGAAAAAAGCATAAATATTTTTAAAATTAAAAGTGCAATTAAATAAAAATATTAAGCATATATTATGCAAAAGATGCATTGTAAAAATTACTCAATCAAAAATCTGCTAATTGTCTCAAATAAAAATTGAAAAATAAGAATTTTAAATCTTTTGTAAATTTCACTTTTATCGAAAATTGATCGTTATTCAAAATTCGATGAGGGTGGTCGCAAAATTCGGTTACGTAATATACCAGTGAGAATTCAATGACTGCGTTTTTGCTGCGCGAGCTCACTCGAGGACATTTACGAGGCACTAAAAGATGAAAGCATCCCGCCCGTGCTGGAGCTTTTCATCCTCGAATATATTAAACGCGTGTGTGTAAAGTACGTGTTGCGATGATAGAGTGTTACAGAGACGTAATCGGAGGATGATGCTGAAAACGCGGAGTCGGAAAAACGAGGGCGTTTCCTCTTTCATTCTTAGCCTTTTAGAAAATCCAACCTACTTGTCGTTTTATGAGACAATAAAAACGAACAGTTCCGGCTAGTTATTCAGCACGAATATCCAAAAACGCGCACGAATTTTTGTATCCCGTATTTTATACGAATATTTCCCATGCGGAAAACGATATATTAAAAGTGACAACTATTTTTCCCAAATTTGGCACACATTCCAGCCTTCTTGAATATATTTTCAAAGACTAATCTTTATGCTTTATCATTTATAGAATATCTTCGATTTTCCCCTCCTTTTAACACGCGAGAAAATCGCGAGACAATATTATTAATTATCCATAAAGTCGCAGAGAACGATTTGAAAATCGAACGAAGCTATTTGTAGATCCGTGTCGTATCTAAATAATGCATATAATCGAGGATTTCGGCCGAGCATGAGAGGAGTTTAACCTTATTCGAATATTAAATGTCCATGCCATCGATCAATTACAAGCTCGACATGCTGATATTATACATCCCTGCCAATTCCTTCTCGGCCTTTATGCAAAAATAAACGCGCCCGGTCCATCGCGCTGTCATCTGCACTAAACGGTTATCGAAATAGCATTAAGATTTAATCTAACTTGACCCAACCGTTACCAACTACGGCATTTCCTTTCTTCCTGTCAACGGACAGAGGCAGAAAATCAGGAAGAGAAGAGGCAAATTGCTATCGCGCGGCGAACTTCCGACGAGAGGTAATAAAGGAACTGTAAAAGAAAAACAGTCGTTCCTCTTCTTCTTCTTTCTTCCTCCAACTCCTTCCCTTTTCTTGCGATTCGCAAGCCAGCAGGTCACGCATAAATTGGATTGACATCGGAACGTCGTTATCGGCTGCCGCCTTTCCTGTTCTTTGGCTCGTCAAATTCGAGTTGGAATTTCCGGCGCCGAGGGAATTTATGCGAACGGAAACCGCGCTATTTATTTTCAATCCTTGGAATCTACGACCCAATAACCTTTTCGTTCGTCCCACTATTATCATTAGAATCGCGATTTAAATTGTTAATGGTACGACTGTTACATTTCTCGCGCAGATTGGTATTTATATATCAAGAAATGTACGAAATCACACAGTAAAAAGACAATAATAAATTAAATAAGGGCAAGTCGCAATTTTAACAATAGAAAAAAATTCATTCGTTTGAGAAAATATAAGAATATTAATATTTTAAGTTAATATTTTTAAATTATATGCTATGATCTTGATAACAATTTAAAATTTTGCGTTATTCTACGTAGAGACGTAGGTCGAACGAAGATAAATGAAGGATTTACCTTCGTTCGACCCGCACATAAACTTTATGTTTGTACGATACCTTGACTTTCTTGTCAATTTCTGGTCTCTCGAGCAGACAGGTTGTCTGTTGCTGTGCGATATACGGTGGTGGAGGTGCCTCGGGATCGTAGTTCACGTGTTGCCCGGCACTCCGTAAGAAACCACCGGCAACCCCGGTGATTCGACCCCTCGTTGTGTCGGCCGTCATTTTCAGAGGAAAGCTGTTCATGCCATCATCGTCTGAATGACCGTCTTCTTCATCGACAACGTCTTCACCAGGGGTTGTGCCGCCCCTGGCGAACTGCTCCTCATCTTCGTACGTGCTTTCTGGAAACATAAAATATCATTTTTATGTTAGATCATAAAGAGATATTTATTGTGTCATATATATATTAAACATTGAAGTTCCAAAGGTTCCAAATTTTATGGCACGATTTTATAAAATAAATCTGTAATAATTGTATTTAATCTATTTAATTATCTCTTAAATAATCTGTTTAATTAATCGAATATATGTTGACACATAAGTGATATTGTTTTATAAAAATATATTCTTGTTTCTACGAAATGTAATGTATACTTTTAAATTAATACATACTTTTATACAAGCATGCAAGCTAAATTTGCGAAAACAGAAAAAACTGAGAAAACAAAATTTAATTCTATGATCTCAAAGTTAAATATGACTTTACACTTTACAAACATTTCATATAAATTCTTTTTCTTTAAAGCCGACATTTCATATGAATTCAACAAGATATATAATAAGATATGTTTTATAATCATATAATTCATAATTATAAAAAATGAATGAAAAGTGGTGTTATTTTTCCATTGATCCATGAAATCCATTTTTCTCTTCTTTTCTTTTTAGTAATAAAAATATATATAAATATAAGCGAATGTTTTTTAAGTTGGAGTGAATCTTAAAGAGTTATTCTCGAATTAAATTTCACATGTAAAAGTATGTACTTTAGTATAAATATGTATCTTAGGATTAGAATAAAAAAATTTCATACATGTATAGATCTTTTTTTATCCTTTTTTTTCTTTTTTGTCGTAAAAAAATCGAACGCATCGTGCAAATGCCAGAATGGAAAAACGCACCGATGAACGACGCAATTCTATCTTCGATGAACTATTCGAGAGAATGATGGATCGGGGGACACACTCTCTTTTATTAGCCGTGGGCAAACGCAAACACGCGAACCGGATAGTTGTAGCCATTTACAGCGGATACATGTTGTCGTGTGATTCTCAGAGGATAGTGCAATCGAGGGACATACGCAGTAATGTCGATAGCCCGGCATTTTACGTCATAAGGCGAGAAGTTTAACGGTAATGGTCAACTATTATTATAACGTCGGACAAGTGACGCTCCTCCCGGAAAGATGAGCTTTGTGAAAGTGTTAGCATCGGAATTATGTCGAAAGACAATGTAAAATGAGATCTACAATGCTTTTCATATTCCATATATTTCATTATTATTCACATAACCGGGATCTCCTCGCGTGTCAATTATAAATTATATGTAAATTACGTTTGCCAGATATGTTTCTTCAAGTTTCGCGCGATACATAAATGTTAACATATCGTTACTGGCAAAAAATCTCAAAAATAGAATGTAAATTTTGAAATTCGCGTAAGCAAAACAGACTCTTTTTGATGTGAAATCATGAATATGAAATATATTATAATTAATAACTGCAAATAATGCTAAAATCATAGAAAAGTACAAAGAAAGCTGAGCCAGTTTAAAAAAAAATTCTTTTAATAGCTTAAAAATAAAAGAAGAAAAATTATTGGGAGTACTCTTTTACTACTCTTTCAGCTTCGAAAACTGGAGATTGCAATAGTATCGAGATAAAACGGTAAAATGATTTATTCATTGCCTCTCTCGACGAGCGTCTCGTAAATCGATTTTAATAAATGAATTGCGCGCGATACAGCCGCTCGGGACTGGGCAATCGAAGCTCGTTATCCCGTTGAATCGGCGCGCACTGATTAGTCCGCAGAGAAATAATCCCTCGTGCGGGTTCGCAAAAAATGATCGAATGCTATTTATCGAGCACTAAAAGTTGGGTGATAATTCGCAAAATCGATCCAACAGCTATCGCGAAAGTGAGAAAGCGGAGAACCAAGCAGCTGATGCGATTGAAGAGCAGGGTTGATGGGATGAAGATGCTCTTTCATTGCTTAATTCGCGAAAATGAAATAATTACACGTAATTCGTGTCTATAATACGAGTTATTCCTTTATTTCTTTGAACGCTACTAATCTCATTTACACACCTACGCGCTTCCTTTATAAAAGGGTAATAAACTGTCGCTGTCATCCTCCCTCTTTGGACGCGCTATCACAGTACTGTACATGAAACAAGATTATTAAAGACAAATAATTTGCGTAAAACCACGGGATCGTATGCTCTGCAAACAGAATAATGGATTTATGCAATTTGCTGACCCGCATCTGAATCAATAGGAGAATACAATAAATGCATGAGAATACAATACAATAAAAAGCTCAAATACTCAAATAAAAAGCTATTTACGGTATAATGAAAAAAAATTAGAAAACGAAAAATCAATTATCCGTTCGACATAAATTGTCAAAAATGAAATGAATAAATAATGAATAGCGAGAAAATAATAAAAGAAATATTGCATCAACGCATAATCGGATGTTTTAAACACATAATTGAGAGAAATAGAATTTAAAGGTAAAAAGTATAGTGTTTTAATATTACTATCGATTATAAATTATATTATATTTAAATTATACCGATGGTGTTAATGAGATAATATCAAAGCGTAAGCAACGATACTGCTAATAACTCGATCGTAAACATGTTCTCTATGGGAATAATAGCTTTAAATTATAATAATAGCTTTAAATTATAATGCACGGATAAGAGATGAGGAGGGTAAATGGGCGTAAGATAACTACGACGGAGATATTGATTGCGCTTTAAGTGCAAACGCAGAGTGAGAAGCTCGTATTGTATGAGCCAATTTATTCCACAATACCGAAGCTGCGCATAGCTGAATAATCGTTTATGAAACTCAATTCTACAAAGGGATAGCATCAAATTATCTGCTTCGCTTCTGGTATGACTAGAGAAAGCATGTTGTTCTCTATATGTGTATTAGTAACAAACTAAACTAAAAACTTAAACTTCTTATCTCCGATACGGCTGCATATGGCTCAAAACGCTTACGTTGCTGGAATTCGTGGTGTTAAAAATGTATGAGAAAGCGCATTAATATTTATGAAAGTTATTATTCTGATGAAATTCTGATCGAATTAAATGCAATTTAAATGAAACTTGAGTGTGTATGTGTGTGTAGATCACAAAATTGCAAAAATAATTTTTCAAGCTGCATATCCACCATATTTTTTTGTTATACATAATTTACAATTCACGTTGATCTCATAATGGATATGAATTCCTGATTCGCTGTGTAAGCTCCGTGCTGTATTAGTCCCGACGACTTCTTGGTTCTAAATATTATTGAGGAGACTTTGTGGAAGTCTTGTGATTTGTGTTTGACATCTTTATCGCTTCTGAAATATGAGTGTAGTCTCCGAAATAAATAGGAAATACCGAAAGATATCCAGTGAAAATTTTAAAATTATATTTGGAAATTTTTTCTTCTTTATCTCTTTATAATATTATGAAAGCACAAAAATTGCATTGTAAAATATAAAATTACAATGTTTCAAGAGATGCATACGTAATTTCCCTCATCTATAAAAGATGATGATATATATTAAAATATTATAATAAAATATTAAAAATTTAGTCATTAATTTCCAATTATCTCTTGCTTCTGCAATATTGCACAGAATAATTACATCATGTAACAAAATTTCTGAACATAGAAAATTTTATCAAACGCATTTTTTATAACAGTAAATGAAAATGTGTAATTTTACAGAAGAGATCAACTTCTAACGTTTACTTTTTTATATATATATCGTTGAAACACTGATTTTGCAAGTTTATCAAGAGAAAATCATTTGGGCGATCAATTACATGCACCGATGAGTGGAATAAAACGCTAGGCTCAAGCTTTGCGGTTCATCGATAAGTTAATAATGGAATTACTCGGTCGAGTTTCAAAATCTGTCACTTAAACTGAGATGAGGACGCCTGCATCTGTGAGATATACGATCAATGTGTTCACAGTGGATTACGCGATGTGCCGCGCACTGCAAAACTCAATCGAGAATTTCGGAATGTCGAATCTATATAGACAAAGATCTGAAAATAATTCTATTTCAAACTATTTTTCATTAATTTTTACTAAAATATTCTCTTTCTGCCACACCATATTTTATTATATATTTATATATAATTAATAATATAATAATATAATAATATAATAATATAAATTTATATATAATTTATATATATTATTTCTGATCAAGCTTATATAATCATAATACTTAACTAAATTTTAATAATTATTTGAAATACTCAAGTATAAATTATTTTACTTTGTTTATACGAATCAAAGCGAGAAACTGAAATAATATATGAATCTGAAATTTCAATCAGAATTTTAGCTTTATTAATTTTGGCAAGAAAAATTCTGTATGTATGTGTATGTCAGTATGTGTATGTATGCACGCGCGCATGTATATGTATTAAGATTAGTAGAAAAATTTCTTAATCGATAAATTATACGACATCAGTTGAATACGATGTACGACACACATTCCGATTCACCAACCAGAGTTGATAATGGAATTACTCTGGACTAAGTTTCGAAATCTGCCACTTAATCGACGATCAGAAACAAGCAGTAGCCTATGTTGGTGGTCGATCTCTCGTGTACCGTTACACCTGTTGCACAGCATCTCATACTTATCCGATAAATAATTTTATAATATCGACTACTTACTTGCAGCCATATGTATATATGTGTGTATATGTGTGTATGTGTACATAAATTAAATTAAATTGATGCTTTTATTATTAGTGCTAAAATAAATAATCTATTTTTGAATAGTAAAATATTACGAACCTAAAAACATGAATTTTAAGAAAATATATATGTAAATATGTTTAAATAGATCATTAACACGTAGAGTTGACTATATTTGTTTGTGCAAATACTAAGAGTCAATTACAATTGCACGCGAGAAAATTGTTAACATAAATGAGAAAACATTGTTAATTATAATGATAATGACTAGTCGGTCTATTCTTGCATTGTCAATGTTTGCAAGCTTTAGGAATTACATTACTAAGAAAACTATCACAATGCATTTCGGAAATTTCTTTGCTTTGTTACAACATCATTATTCATTCTGTCTCTCTTTCTCTCTCTCTCTCTCTCTCTCTCTCTCTGTGTACGTACTTCTCTCTTTTCTTCTCTCTTCCTCTTTTCGTTGTGCTCTGTTTACTTCTCGCTACAGAGAAAACCACGGAATTCGCGTTTTCGTGTTCGAATTTAACTTTATGACTTTCGGAAATACATCATTAATGAGACTTCAAACGGAATGGAGAAAGAAAACAGAAAAAAATTTACCAAATGCGGGTTTTTTCTGCACCGATTAACTTTACGATCGAATTTTTACAGCTCTGCTGCACTGGGATACAGACAGACTGTGAAACTTTCAATTCGATGAAACAGGAAGAAAGTGCAAAACGTCGTTATTACTTTAGCGAACTACATTACCAAAGCGGCCAACTACTTTCGATCAATGTAAGTTAGAGGAAAGAGAGGAGATAGAGAGAGAGAAAGATAATTTTTATGCTGCTTGTAGTCGTGACATTTACACAAAGTTCATTGTAATGTACAGAGTTTTCATGTTCAAATTAAATTTTTCTACTAAATTGATGATTGTTTGCAAAAACTATGACGAATTAAATACCTAATAGATGTACGAAATTATTTGGAAAATTGTGATATACTAATTTTTGAATATTTATATAAATAAATAAAAAATAAATAATAATAGAAACAAAGATTTCAATGATTACATAATATCAAATAAACGGGAGAAAAATCATACTTGTATATATTTGAAAACCATAAGTATAGAACGTGGAATTTTAAACTACATATACGTATATAGATAATTCATTTCTCTTTTCTAGGACAAGCTTCATAGGACATATACATATTTCGTGGAAATAAAAGTAGAAGTTTGATACAAAAGTGACTTGTGGTTATTTATACTGTAAGATATTCATGTAATTAAACTATGAAACTTAATCATCTTTACTGCAAGAAATATAATTTCTCTCTGAACTCAAAAAAATAGAAATAAAATTTCTGATATTCTCTTCTGAAATTACTAACACCTAAATCGTATTACTTGTTTGTGCGTTCTGGTTTCCATTCCCCTGAGCACATTATAAAGTGATTACATAGAAATTATAAAACAGGTCACACATATTATGGAAGTGACATAATTTCTTACAGCTATATATATTTTTGGAGAAAGAGGAGGTATATTAGGTGAACAAACTTCAAATAATCACCTCGTATTGTACTGTAAATCTGTGTCAAAAAAAAAGAAAAAACTTTGGTCGATCGATAGATGAAAGAATAATAAAACAATAATTCCACAAAGAATATAATTTAAAAAAGTAATCTAAAAAAATAAATTTTATTTTTTTCATTTATCTTTTTATGTTGTTATATCGTTTCGGTTGTATTTCCAATGATGGGGTTACCCTTTTATGTCAAAAATAGATACGAGTCACAAAGATTTTCCGATACGTTTCCACAAAGACTTTTTCGTTAACAGTCCTCGTTATACGGGCTCACCTGCGTTTTTAGTTATAATGGTGACGGCCACGGATTGCGAATACAGAGTCGCAGAGTCGACGGAGATAATTTTTTTTCTCCTCTATCCTCGGAAATTTCCTCAGATGGATGAAATATCACCGTGAGATCTGCGAAATAGACAGATCTGTAGGAGACAAGAAAAAAAAAGGAAAGAAAAATTAGTCAAATGGGAATGCGCCGGGTGAGAATAAACAGATGGTCAGGGCTTAAATGTATAGGGCTTTTACGAGACGACGTTCTTCATTCCGTCCAATACTCCGAGACCGGAAAAACAGAGTGACGAGGTGTAACGCGACACTATGAGTGCGATCTCTCAAAAACTTTAGTTAAAAGATATTCGCAGAAGAAGAATTCCTCGCGTTCCGCTATGAATTTACGCGCGATTTTATCAAGGTTACTGCGGTAATGTTATGCGGGTATGCAGGATGTTTACAAACAGAGCTAAATCAGGAAATACGACTACCGCGAAATGAAGGAAGGATAAGTTCTTAAATTCTTAATTTTTAACTTCCTGAAGTATTTTTACGGATTGATTATATTTAGCCATTCTTTTTTTCATCTTTTGATATCTTTTAATAAGTTGACGTATCATTCAGGCGAAAGATCTTCTTCCACACTGAAAGATCCGGTTAAAAGATATGCATATAGCTAGTCTTTGAATAGCATAAAAAGAGTTACACGTGTAAACACGTTTACTTGAACTTTGTTGAACTTGTTTTTCATGACTACAATCAATCAAGGAACTTTAATATACGTGCTTACGTTAGGAGATAATTACTGCAATTTGTTCGCATGGCTATAAAACACATTGTCAGTAGAAATCCACAAAAACATTCGTCAATATTCTCGCGCATCCTATCAAACGATAGATCCTATCGAACGATATTGATTTAAAATTGAAATTTTGCCAGGGTAGAAGTTTCTGCCATTTTGTATCCCTGACTCCGCGATAATCATTCATCTTCGTAAGTCCCACGCTCTTGTCTCTCTTTCTTTCTTTAGTTAACTATTTAGTTAATTTTAACTTTAGTTTATATAAAGGAAGTTTATACATTATTCTAGAGTATTACAGTTAAATTACATAATTCTTTCTTATCGTGTAGAAAGGTGTACGTTAAAAAAATTACAAATATACAAATAATGAGGAAAGCGACACGCGTATGTTACCTTTTATTACGATGTTTTAGTACAAGCAGAAATTGCTCAATAATTTACACGATGCTTTCCTGAAACATGATATTGATATGTGAAACTTCGTATTATTACGCAAAAAATCAAACTTATTAAGCGTGTAACATAATATGAATCATATAGATATATGAGAAACTTTCGATATATTTCCGTGATACGTAATGATAATAATCGCAGTATACAAGAAAATTAATGGAATATATTATACTTTTTACATAGCGGCGTTGAATTTATCGAAGGCGTTGCTGTAACGGGAATTTCAATGAGGAAGAAGATGAGAGCCTTTCCTGAGTGACTCATTTGTAAATCAAACGAAAAATCGATATTTATTCAATAAATCAAACTACGTCAAACGACTGATTTCGCGATATATTCAAAAAAGAAAAACAATGAGAAAAAAAGGAAAATGCAATCCTTAAATTTAAAATAAAATATAAAAATAAAATATAAATTTTTAAAATAAAATATAAATTGCTTTCCATATAATTCTAAATTATTATATTTTAATATTTCTCGAAATATATTTTTATCAATCTAAATATATATATATATATATATATATATATATATATATATAATCATTACGTGTTATTTTTTTTACATGGCAATTGAAAAAGTTGTAATATTTAACTGAATACATAGTTTCCTCTTTACACATCAAACTAAACTATTAATTTCTATCGTAAAATCTCTTTCGCACATGCTGCATTTATAAATTGTGCAGGCCAAATTAAAACATTGCCCGCTATATTAAGTGCAGTGTAATATAGCATATGCACAAAGCGTATTTTAAGTGAATCGAAACGCGGTAATCAAAAAGAATATAAAGACTGTGAATATATGTATAGTCTTTGATCTTTTGCGCTTGAGGGCGATATTTCGGCGTGCCATGATTCGCTATAATATAACGAGCGAATGAAAAGCCGGAAATATTGCCCGTCTATGTAAAGTGGATGTAGCTGCACGATAGACGAACGCAATTTGTTGTTCTCGCTGAATAACAAGCCTCCCATTCGTATTCCACAAGCAATCCTTTATCTCCCTTGCTTTCTCATGAAAATTACGTGGCCAAAAATACTATATTTACATATATGCATAAACCGCTTATATACGTATGCTCGCTGAAAGAAGATGTTGTGCTAAAAAATTCGATTTACGTCATTTTCGAAAAAATGATTCTTAATTAAATTACAGTTAAAGTGAGATACGATTAATTTCATATCAATTTGTATATCACAAAGTAACTTTCGAAAAGTCAGAGAGTCTACTAATCACTATTTCGTTCTTTTATATGTGTGATAAAGCTTGCATAACTAATGATCCATCTATGTAATCTCAGGAGGAACGTGTGTCGCATAAAAACAGGTAAATTTAATTTCAATGGTCGAACGAAGTCGTTTGTCCCACAGTTTTTTTCCCTTTTCTCTCCCATTGCTGACCTCTCTTTAATTTGTGTTCTCCCTACGATGACCCGATTGCTTTCGGCATCGACCGAAAAATAGGTCATTCGACACAGGAAGGACAAAGCTGTTCTAGCTTGTGTTAGAAAGATGGGGAACACGAAATGCCGCAGACAATTCCGTCGGGTTACGAATTTTAAATCCTATTCCGTTCTGTTAGGTGCGCGCGGATGACATATCGCGTCGTGTGTCCGAGACACGAGGGTGATAAAGCCTGACAGATTTTTCTGACGCCACTTCCATGATGGCACTATTGAATGAATCGGACATCTTGATCGTACTGAATAACTTCTGTGTGCAAAATAATTTTCGCTGCTTCGTCGACGTATACCTAAATGTGATAATTTGAAAATATACCAATTAATAAAAATATATATAAATAGGACTATTATTCCGTTATTTGGAAAAAATCGCAAATTATATTAAAGTCGAAATGTTGTATTTCTTTCAAAAATAAAAATAAAAAATATATCAGGAATATTTTTCATTTTCATTTTCATTTTTTAGAAGAATTAGACATGTGTGCAGAGCAATGCTAATAAATCAGTTTTTATAAAAAACGCTAAATATTAAACTAGCCATTATTTTCAGTTTTGCTTTTATATATATATATATATATATTGAAAAATTTATTTTCTATTTTATCTTGATCTGTTATAATAATAAATCATTTAGTATATAATTCTATAACAGATTTATTATTTTTAACGAATTTTTAATAAATAACCTTAAAGAATGAAAAAGGCTAACTTATGCTTCCAAAACTTATGCTACTATTTTATAACTCTTTTATAACTCTTAATATATCATTCTCATTCATTTCCGCTTTTCTTTCCCTTTCCAAATATTACTTAGCTGATGCACAGGATTTATGTTTATTTCGGAGATAGATGCTGAGATAGCATAAATGAGGAACCAGAGTAGTGAAAGAGGAATGATAAGAAATTATGAACGAGTTGCAATGACTGTTCGTGGGCTACAGTAGGTGACAATTTATCGCGTCATAACTAACTGAGTTGCTAAAGGAATAAATGCCATTCCAGAATTCTCTCGGCGAGCAGAGTTTCTCGCTTGAAATGATCGCAGACGCAAAGCCGACGTCCACCACGCTCTTTTCATGTAACTAGATTCTTCATGATTTCACACAGACAGAAAAATAAAAAAGTTATGAGAAATTCCACACTAACTCTTGCGGTTTGTGTCGCTTTTTTCCTCTTTTTCTGTTTCTCTTTTTCTCGGAAAATTTAATTTTGTTTATCTCGATTAAACGATTTTTACATTCGTTTCCCACGAATCAGTTAATGCCAAACCATTGCAATGTCATGATTTATAACAAAAAATATAGCTATTTCGTATAATCGTAAAAAAGAAAATTAATAGAATAGAAGAAAATTATAATGAGAAGTAATAAGTTCGAAATATAAAAATAATGTATCTACGTTATTACTCTGAATATGGAATAATTTGAGATTATAAATTTTAATTTTTGTATATATATGCATACTTAATCAACTATAATACAAAAACAATATTATTTCAGTTATGCAAGTTTGAATAAATTTATTACATAGCTAATCTCTCCATTCTAAGCATAACATTTCTCTCCACTGTGCACGATAGATAATTCGTATCGAGAATATAATATTTCAAAGAGATATTCCTCGATGAGCTTGTCTAACTTGGAAAGACATTGAGAGATATTCCTTTGAAAAGATATTATTATTCATCAGTTTATGCATTTCCGACAGAAGCTACAAAATCCCAACACTTAACATACTTATACGAGAACGATTTCCTTTTCCGATGCAAAGCTTTTGCCAATCGAAATAATCTTGTTCTCTCTGAAAAAGCGTACTTCCGAACTTCTTTGACCGATATTACGTCTCACTACTCGATGTAAATTCAAAGAAAGAATTTGTTCAAAAATTTTTCTCAAGAAAGAAAAAATAAGAACGCGATAAATTAATTTAAAGACTCGCAGATAATAATTTTTTTATTCGCTGAAACACGCTATGATAAATAATAAGCACAATTTCCGTATATAATCCGTTGGGATTACAATAGTACAGCGCTTCCTTCTATATCAGTCCTTTCTTTCCGCTCCTAATTATGCGGATTCACTTACACGAACGCTGAAATAATAGCGTCCGTCAGCCATGACTTGTAACGGATGTTCCTCGTATGTACGCATGCATGTAGGCACTCGTTTGGCGGGAAGCCAAAATCATAAAACGTCCTTTGTCTGCTCACCGAGAGATATTTAGAAGGCTTAAATGCAACGGGATGGCGCTCCGTCTGACCCGAGACAATCTTTCACTACTGTGCTCTGCACAATTTTAATATCTAACTTCCAATTGTGTCACAGATCTGTGCAATTATTATGTGCTTAATGGCAGAGATAAATCCCTGTTTTTTAAAGGAATTAAAGAACAATTAAATATTCTAGAAATTGAAAA